TTCTACCAGTTGACATGTTTAGAATGCTTATGTTTTCTTATTCACTCTCCCATTTTAAACTTCCGTATTTTGTTAATGAAATTAAGTATTTGTAGTTACGGGTAGTTTTAAAAATAATTTATAATTAGGGAAACAAAATGAGTACAAAGGATATCCATAATACCCTTTGCTCAGATTTACTTTTTTTTTTTTTGCCAGTCCTGGGCTTGAATTCAGGGCCTGAGCTCTGTCCCTGAGCTTCTTTTGCTCAAGGCTAGCACTCTACCACTTGAGCCATGGCATTACTTCTGGAGTTTTCTGTTTGTGTGGTACTGAGGAATCAAACCCAGGGTTTCATGAATGCTAGGTAAGCACTCTAAGCCACATTCCCACCTGAGATTTAACATTTTATTCCATTTATTCTTTTCATTTCCTTCTCCCTATTTACGCACGCACACACACACACACACACACACACACACACACACACACACACACACACACACACACACACACACGATTATTTCCTGAATGCTTCAGGGTGAAAAATGCATATCATAGCTCTTATCCCTGTATTTCTGCAAGTACTTCCTAAGAAGATTGTTATAGTAAGTCTGCCTTATTTACAGATTGAGTGCTTTTGATCAAGTCTGACAAAAAAATGTTTTGAAAAATCAAATTATATCTCAAAAGCAAATATTTCAGTTCGCTACATGTCCATTCATGCAGCCAAGAGGATGTGGAGAAGCTCTCGGCCAGTCCTGAGTTATCCCTGGTTTGTGTGTACCTGCTGAGGGTTTCCCTGTCCTAAATGTTGTGAAAAATTTGCCTCCTAAAAACCAAATGATGTTCCCAAAGCTAGTAAATATTAATGTGCTTTGCTGAATAGATCAAGCGAACATTTGAGATTTGTTGGAGGGCAACTGTCTTTAGCGGAAGTGGCATGTCATTGTGGGAAGAATGAATCAGGAGTTCACAGCCCAGCACTGAGTGCCAGGCAGCCTGAGCTTGTGCAGGGTTTTCTCGGCAGTGGTCTCCTTGGAAGCATAGACATGCTCTACATAAGGTAAAGACCAATTTCAGGAATCTGTACAGATATAATTTACAACCCAACTTTACAGCAGTGGCCACTTCTTGCCAGAGCTGGATTCAGGGCTGGGTGAAGCATCAGTGTATTTTTCTTTCTTTAATCTGGAGATAAACAAATTAAAATTGAGTATAATTTATGTTAGCCCAATAGGCTCCCTTCCCAAGGATTAGCACTCTCCTTCCCCAGCTTAGCATGCTCTTTCCCCTCTCCACAGCTTAGCATGCTCCTTTCCTAGGCAACACTAGGCCCATGTAGTAAAGGCAGTGAATAATCAGCCTCCAACTCCCTCTACCTTGGGATGGCACTTCTCTAGGGCAGCTACCACCATATAAGGCAGCAAGAGCCCCTTAGAGTGACCTTCAGGTCTGGGCAGCTGCAGGTCCCTTATCTATTACTTGGGCAGCAGCCATAAATCCTAGTCCACCATGGCAGAGCCCCTGTCCCTCCGGTCCACACCAGGGGCTCCACCTCCTAGCCCCTTTTAGGCCCTCCAAAACCTTCTAGGTTATATAGGTCACCTTAGACAATAGCTGGCACTTCTCACTTCTCCTTTGTGAGAAGGGGTCTTGCCAGCCCCTTTCCCAGCAATAAACCTTTCGATGTTCTTTGCACCTGGATGCCTGCATGGTTTTCTGGCAAAGTCTAAAATAACAATTTATGTACTGTTTTTCTGATTATTCCATTGTAATTAGATTCATATTATGCACCCTCAGCACATTCTTAACCAAAGCTGCTGTGTTTCTCCGAGTTCCTCATCAGAGTTGTACTAGATTTTAAATAGGGCTTTTAATCACTTACTTGGATTTTAGCTAATTTCTTTACTCTAAGAGCACAATTTAATTTTCCTCTCTTGCAATAAATGGGCAGCCTGTGGTGATCTACTTATACCATATAATTATCCTCTGTATTATATGATTTCCAGATACCTATTACAAGATTTGCAATTCATTCCAGTGTGGTCAGAGAATAAACTTCCTCTGACTTAAAATTTTTTGGATTTATTGTGATTTTATTTCCCAGTGGAAGTTAGGGTTTATCTTGGTAAATGTCCTGTATGCATCTGATGTATTAGTATCCTGCTGCTGCTCACTGGAATATCCTGGAAATGTCAACTAGAATAAGTGGTTTATAATGGAGATCAAGTTTTCAGTTTATTAATTATCTGTCTACTATTTTTGTCAATTATTGAGAGAGACAGGTATCGAGATCAACCAACTGTGGATATTTCTGTTTTGCACCTCAGTTCTAGTTCTTTCTGCTTCATATTTAGAAGCTGTGTTGTTAGGTGCACACATGCCTAGACATTGTGACATTAAAAATAAAATGACAGAACGAAGATCTATTCTGTAAACATTAAAGCTGGAATGGCTTTATTATTTTATCAGATAAGGTAGATGTCAAAAGAATGAAAACAATAGGGATAAAGAGAACTCCTAACAACACAATCATGTTTGTAGTGGATTTATTATAGGCAGCATGCAATTAGATTTTCTTTGGCTTTTTTTTTTTTTTGCCACTCTGGGGCTTGAACTCAGAGCCTGCGTACTGTCCCTGAGCCTCTCTGTGCTCAAGGCTAACACTCTACCACTTGAGCCATAGTGCCACTTCTGGCTTTTTCTGTTTATTTGATATTGAGGAATTGAACCCAGGGCTTCAAGCTAGGCAAGCGCTCTACCACTAAGCCACATTCCCAGCTGATCTTTGTCTTACTAGTATGCTTAGGTCATACCATAGTTTATTAGAGCTTCTATAATAAAATAAAGCAATGATTTATTTATATATGTACATATATACACATACATATTGTTACATACACATGCAAATATATACATACATATATAACATTTATATATATATATATATATATATATATATATATATCAAAAATTTCTCTTACAGCTTTGGAAGTTTGGAAGTGTAATACCCAAGTGCCAAGAGATTTGGTGTATGGAGATGACTGGCTCAGTCTCACATGGTAGAAGAGTCAAGGTAGCTCCCCCAACATCCTTTACAAGGGCACTAACCCATTCATGAGGCTCCCCCCTCATCACCCATCACCTCCCAGTGACTCTCTCCTAATGCAATTACATTGATAATTACGGTCAGCATAAAATTTTGGAGGTGACACTGACAGACTACAACAAATCACTACAATGTAATGCATTAATTTGCAGGGTTGAATTTAGGTTTCTCATTTTATCACTCACTTTCTGTTTGTCTCCTCTAGTAGAGAAAAAGAGAAAAACAATATAAGCTCAAGCAGGGGTTCAGATGAATAATTTTGGAACCACTACACATTCACTGGAATTGAACATTTGTGTAAATGTCTGGCAGATGGTAGGGGCCAGGTTTCTGTATGTTGAAAAAGAGGTTATAGACAAGGCAGGGTAAAATGCTAAAATAATCCATATGGTAATGGATTAGAGGCATGACACTGGTACAAACTAACTTTAGTTTCCATAGTTACAGATGGTGATAGGTGGAAATATATATAGAGATAGGTATGTGCATGTGTGTGTGTATTTGTATATACATATATATTTTCTTGCTCTATCAGCTGCAAGGGCCTAGAACCAGTAATCCTGAGCAGTAATAATCATACTTCACCATCAGATCTTGATTCCCAATGCTATTATCAGTAGGAATTGGGGCTGCTTGCGAAAGGACTTGTTCCAGGACTGGAGTTAAGAATATACAACGTGAGCCCGGAGCATTATACAAGGCCAGACACACATATGACTGTTCCCACACTCCCTCTTTTCAGAAGACACTCTTCTATTTGATTTGGACCCATTCTAATGACTTCATCTGAATCTATGAAGATCCAATTGCCAAATAAAATCAGACTCCAAGGTACCAGAAGTTAGGGTTTCAACATGCCATTTTTGAGGGGGGACACAAAAATGTTTACAAGATCTATCTAAGCAAAGAAAAAATGGATGTAGTGGCATGTGCCTCTCATTCCAGCTATGACGGGAAATATAAATCATAAGATTGAGGTCCAGGCCAGCTTGAGCACAAAGGGAGATGCTATCTCAAAAATAACTAAAGCAGAAACAGCTGGTTAACATCTTAGAGCTTCTGCCTAGGAAGCAAAAAGTCCTGAGTTAAAACTGTAGCATCTCGCCTTCCAACACCTCCTACCCCGACCCAAGGAATATCTACCATTGCCTGAAAAGGTAACACTTTTCCTGTGGCCAACCACCTATCTGATAGAAGTTTCTTCATATATGGAAATCATCAAAACAACACATTATAACAGATGGAACTTAAAGGGACATATGAGGATACAGCTGTCTTCCACTAATATCAGTAAATTGATTTTTGGAAATATAAAATAATGCTACTGTTCTCACTTTTTATTTTGGAACATGTGATTGTTTTTATAAAACATATCATTTACAATAACACATAATGGGTTACTGTTATTTTAAGTAAACTTTTTAAATTCATAGTTTTAAGTTATGGAAAATATTGACAGATATATTGATAAATGTGATTTCTTCAGGAGGATGATTTTTAATTTTTTCTTTAATGTATTGGTCTTGGGGCTTAAACTCAAGCCCTGGGTACTGACCTTGAGTTGTTTTACTCCAAGCTAGTGCTCTACCACTTGAGCCACAGCTCCATGTCTAGCTTTTTTGGTGGTTAATGAGAGATAAGAGTCTGACACACTTTCCTATCCAGTCTGGCTTCAAACTGTGATCCTTAGATCTCAACCACCTGAGTAGCTAGGATTACAGGCATGAGCCACTGGCACCCAGCTTGAAGCAATATTTATCTTTCAATATCATAATATTCCTATTCTCTAAATCATCATTGGTTGTTTTAGAGTTTAACTATAGCTTTGCATCAGTTTTGAAATTCCAGATTAAATATATGAATGTGCTAGTATTCCGTTCACTTATTCTCCATGCAATCTGTCCACAACATGGAAGATGACATTCTGTTGAAGTTCCACCTACCTGCCATCTCCTTAAAACCCCCCCAGAGAAGTCGAGTTGAGTTTGCTGAGAGAATTCTGTCCGTATTCTCCAATATCATAGCCACTAGCCACACCTAGATGCTGGGCACACGTGGCCTTGAGCACCTGGAATGGCTTCTTAGGTCACTGAGCAAAAGCCAATGTCTGGCAAGGCCTCAGGTGATCAGCTTCTTTCTTGCATCTGACCTGTTCTCCAGATTCCCCGCACTCACTCTCCCTTAGCTTCTGGGATTTCTCTACTTCTGGAGTACCAAGGTCGACTCCCACGCTGGAGTCTTTGTACTTGTTTCCTCTGCTTGCAATGTTCTTTCTTTAAATATCTTTGTGGTTCAGTCTCTTACTTCCTTTAACTGCAGTGTTCAGAACATTTACATTTCATGAGCTTATTGATGTAAATCTGTGTGTTGAGACCTACCATCTTACTGTTTGTTTTGCATTTGTCCCATCTGTTCTTTGCTTCAATTCCCACCCCCCTTTCTCCGATTGCTTTTGGATTTATTAAGCATTTTTGATAACATTTTATCTCCACTATTGGCTTATTAGCTTACAGGTTCATGGACCTCCTTGTTTAGTATTTTCAATGGTTGCTTTAGGGTTTACAATAATCACGTTGAATTTATCACCCTCTAGTTACTATGCCACTTTACATACAACAGTATACATACTGCCATTTACAACAACCATCTAAGGTCATCTCTCCTTTGAGTTATACTCCTTATATATTTTACTTCTATGTATATTATGAATCCTAAAATTCACCACCATTATATTTGCTTTAAACAGTTGATTATATTTTAAAGAAAATTTAGGGGGCTGCAAATGTAGCTTAGTGTTAGACTGCTTGCCTAGCATACATGAATCCCTGGATTTGATTCCTCAGTACAACATAAATATAAAAGCCAGAAGTAGAGCTGTGGCTCAAGTGATAAAGTGCTAGCGTTGAGCACAGAGATGCTCAGAGACAATGCCCAGGCTTTGAGTTCAAGTGTCAGGATTGGCACAAAAAAGAAAAGAAAATTTAAATGAGAATTAAGATCTTGTGTCTACCTCTTAATATTTCTGGAGCTCTTTGTTTCTTATGTAGAATCTACTTTTATCTGATATTATTTTTCTTTTCTTTTTTTGGGGGGGGGGGGTCTGGTCGTGGAGCCTGAAGTCTAGGCCTGGGCTCTGTTCCTCAGCTCTTCAGTTCAAGGCTGAAAAGCGCTCTACTACTTGAGCCACAGCGCCACTTCCAGCTTTTTTCTTTTTGCATGTGTGGTGCTGAGGAATCGAACCCAGGGCCTCATGCATGCAAGGCAAGTGCTCTACCACTGAGCCACCTTCCCAGCCCTGATATTATTTTTCAACAGAAACAATTTCCTTTAACACTTCTTATAGTGCAGATCTGGCATGACAATTTCTCTCAGTTTTGTTTATCTGTTAAATTTATCACTTTACGTTTGCTTCATTTTGCCTATTTACTTTTTTCAAATATGGAACAGGAGGCTGACATTTGTTCCTTAGTGGGTTTATTTTTCTTTGAGCACTTTAAAGATGTTACTTCATAGTTTTCTGGCTGGCATAGTTTCTCATGAGAATTCTGTTGTTACTCTTACCATTGTTCTCTTACTACACGAGCATCTCTTTATGGCTTTTAATATGTTTGCCTTATAATTCATGTGGTATTTTTGTATTTATCCTATTTGAGTTATTGAGTTTCTTGGATACTTGGGTTTATGATTTTTTTCAATCAAATTTTTAAAGTTTTGTTATTATTTCTTCAAATATTTGCTGACTGCCTTCTTTTGTCTATGACTTTAACTGTACATGTTGTACAACTTGACATTACATTGCAATTAGTGGACTATTCTTATTTTTAACTTTTGTTTCCATGTGTTTTATTCTGATATGTTCTATTGGTACTTTTTCAAGTTTCCTGCTTTTTGTCTCAGTGTCTAATAAGTTATGATTCTACTCTAGTGAAGTTTTCCATCTCCAAAAGTTCCATTTGGATCTTTTAAATAATACTATTTTTTTACTCATCATATTAATATTTTCTTATATATCTTTGAGCATATGAAACAGGCTTATATCAGCTATTTTAGAATTCTATTTTTATCATCTGCATCATTCCCTTTGGATTACTGTCTCTTTTATTATGTTCTCTTCGGCCTTTTCTTTATGTCCACTAATTTTTATGGGATAAAGTGAATTTTATATTGTTGAATTCCCCAGTGGGTTATGCTTTTTTAAAAAGAGTACTTGACATTTTATGACCAGTTAAATTTAATCACTCATAGATTGTTTTCATTCTTGTAGAATTGTTAAGTTCTTTTAAGGAAGGTTTAGCGTATTATTTATTCTGGGACAATTTTTGACTCTTGTTTAAGCCATACATCCCTTGAACATCTACCAAATATTTTTATGTTTATTAAAGTCATTTATACTTTTGTCAGGGGAGATAGGATACAAATGGCTGCAAGTATTGTATGATATTTGAGAATTGTTTACAATTTCCCAATAACTTTTCTTTCTCCTCTCCTTGTTCATGGAATCTTACCGTATGCAAAAGGGATTCCTTTTGAAGCTTTCTGAAACTTTCCTTCTATAGATTCTTTCTCTTTCAAATTCTGTCCTACAAATTTGAGCCTTTTCAGCCTTCCTAAATTCTCATGTCCATTTCCTGAATTGCCAGATCTGCTTGAGATCACTCTCTCTTAGACCCAATAGGAAATTGCCCACAGGCAGAACATTTGCTTCTCTTTCTCTCAACAACCACTGCTCTCTTCTCTCAGGTCTGAACTGCATTAATTTTTTTTTGAGGGGGGGGTCGGTCTTGGGGCCTGAACTCTGGGCCTGGGCGCTGTCCCTCAGCTCTTCAGCTCAAGGCTAGCGCTCTACCACTTGAGCCACAGAGCCACTTCTGGCTTTTTTTCTTTTTGCTTATGTGGTGCTGAGGAATCAAACCCAGGGCCTCATGCATGCAAGGCAAGTGCTCTACCACTGAGCCACTTTCCCAGCATGCATTAATTATTTTCTACACTTTATCAATTTTCTTGTGGCTTATGCAGATACATATTCTGAAACTCTGTAGACCCTCACTTCTGGAGTAAGGGGAGTAGCTAGCTGAGTGCTAAGTAGAGCACTTTCCCATCCTCATTTGCTCTATCACACTATCAATGCTTTATCACATTTTCTCTGGTCTCCTTTAAATATCTATGTAGTGTGGTGTCTCACAGCCAGTATTCTAAAATAGCACCTGCCCTTCCTTCACCAACACTCCATATTCATTTTGGACAATTTATTTCTTCTTAAGAGTTATCATGGTATAACAAGCTATAAAGTATACACAATCATTTTGTTTATTCTGTGTCTTTCCCAGTTTATTCTGTAGCAACATGCATTAAAATGAAAGCTCTCTGATGGCAATTGTTCTTGTTTTCTTTAAAAAAATTATTGTAAAGGTGATGTACAGAGGGGTTACAGTTACATAAGTCAGGTAATGAGTACATTGTATGTGACCCTCTTCCTTGTTCTCTCTCAGTTTTTCCCCTCCTGTCACCCCTCCTCACCTCCAGTTGTATAGCTCATTTCTAATATAGTGTTTAGTGAGTATCACTGTTGAATTGCTTCACCCTTTTGTCCCATTGTTTCTGTGCTCAACCCTCCCCCAAACAGATAAACTTACATACAAGACAAAAGATACAGAAATCAAATACAGGAACAAAAGGGAATAAACCAAAGAAAAGCAGTTGTTTTTATGTTTTGCTCATTGGTGCAGCCTCAGGGTTTAGAATGATGCTCAGAGCATTAACCAATAATGCGATCAATAGCATTCAATAAATTTAGGGAGGTTCGTTTTGTTTTCTAGGCAGTGGTATTTGGATAGAAGGCCTTGTATTTGCCAAGAGGTTCTCTACTATTTGAGCCACACATCTAATCCTTTTTTTTTTTTGCTTTATCAAGTAGTTTTATCAAGTCCTTCCTTGGACTGTTATCCTCCTATCTATGCCTGCAACAGACTTGGATTATAAACATAATACTAAACCTAGCTTGTTTGTTGAAATGTGGGTCTTTTTGCCTGGGCTGGCCTGAAACCACAATTCTTCCAATCTCTACCTCCTGAGTAACTTTCACCTGGCTCAAGGGACATTTTAACTGTGGGATCTGAATGAAACACTGAGAACAAGAATATAAGAAATGTAAAAAATATAATAGTAATAAGCACAAATCAACATAGTTTTTGTGGTCAAGAAACTTCAGGAAAGAAATCAACAGATTGATTTAAAGATTGAAGTCGAAGTCTAGTTAAATGCTGAAATGTGTAAATCAAGGCATTACTTATTGAGGAGGGGAGCTTGGAGGAGACTTGATGAGCAGGTCTTGAGACAGATCTTGAAAGGGTTGTGTGATTTTGTTTATTGTGAACATTTTGAGCCAGCTCTTCTATCTTTAGTTCCCCTAAACATAAGTACTTCCCGGTCCCTGGGCTGATGACAATCACAGAGAATTCTTTGTTTTTGCTAGTTAGGAAAGAACAAGAAACACAGCCATTGTACTTTGTTGCTGCAGTAACAAATTTATATAAACTTACTCACGTAAGGCAACGTGAATTTATTATCCTACAATTCTGGGAATAGAAAACTGGAATAGGTGTTGTGATAACAAAAGTGTTGGCAAGTCCTCCTAGGGACTCTAGGAGAGAATACATTTCTTTGTTTTTTGCTGCTTCTAGAACTTTCTTACATTCTTTGCCTCAACACCCCATGCTGTCAAGTACATCACTCCATCCTCCATCTCTATGTGTCTATGCTTTCTCAGTGGTATGGGCTGTTATAAACAGCCAATATGATCATAAATAGCAATAATAAAGCTGTCGTTTAGATATGTGTATGTATAGATCTATACATATCTATATGTCTATTATTGTATATATGGTGTGTGTATAGATAGATAGAGAGATATGACTATGTTTTTGTCCCCCCAAAATATGTTGCAGTGATACCTCCTGATGTAAAATAGGGATTTTGTAAGGTAATTAGTCATGAGGGTGGAGACCTCATCATTGGATTTGTGTCCTCCTAAGGAGGCCCGAGCTAGACCTGGCTTCCTTTCTCTCTGCTGTCTGCCATGTTAAGGGCACAGTAAGAAGAAAGCCATCTGCACATCAAGAGAAGACCCTCACAAGATATTGAATCTTTCAGCACTTCACAACCTTTAGCCTTTAGGACTGTGGTTAAGTCACTATGTCCGTGGCTATTTGTTAGGGGCAGCCCAAACTAAGATATTTTGTAGTATCATTTAGCTGAGATTTGAACCAAAGGTATGGGACTCCAGTCTGAGGCATTTGCACGACTGGCTTTAATGTCTTCCTGCAAGAGATAGTCTATATTTCTGTGACCCCCCTTCCCACCTCCCTGAAGGTCTTGCCAATGAGCTGCAGTAGCCAAAACTGAAGTCCATCATGGATACGCCTTACATTCCTCTGCTCCTCTTTGCTGTTTCCCCTCCACATTTCCACCACCAAGCATGGGATTCCACCCCTGTTCTTTTCCCATACGGTGAGCCAGACACTCCTTGTTTTGCCAGTACTGGTTGAGCTGGGCAGTGTTCAAGACTTAGAAGGGACCACATCTGGCTCCACAGGATGCTGGGTCAGTCCTTGTGCCCAGCTGTTGCAGGATGCTACAGGGGTGGGAGGCAGAGAGCTGGGGTCACTCTTTCCAGAATGTGACCCAGTGCTGCACCTGTTGGTTTCAGGGAATGTGAGAGGGTCTCCTGGTAGGACCACCTTATTAAGCATCTAAAATAATCTGGCCCCAAAGCCTCAACATTTCAACAAGAAATCAATATAGCAACTTCAAGAGATATTTCTGTTGTTAAAACCAGACGATCTTTTTAATTGGCTTCTGCAATCAGAGCATACAACAAATGTAAAGAAAACTTCAGAGCATATGGCATTCTGGAGTCAAGTGTAGTTTGATGAAACCACACTGAATGTGAAGAGGAGGTATGATTTTAAAGAAAGCTGTTGGACTCTAGTGTTACAGATAGAATCTAAGAAGGCACTTTGCAATTCATTTTTTTCTATTTCTTCTTGGTGTTTTATTGCTTTCATGCCCAAAACCTATAAATGTTCCTTGTCACTTTAGCATAATCAATTCTAACTCCATCATGTTTTTTTCCAAGAAACTGACAAGAATCTCTCACAGCATGGCTGAGGGGACAGGATGGGCTGGCTGGGTGCCCAAGAACCTATCCCAGGCTCTTTTCTCAACTGTTCTGTCTGAAGAAGATGACTATTAAGCTAATCCAGCCTGAGACCCTGTGGGGAAAATGGTTGATGCTGGTTGAGCCTCATTAAACTCTACCTGGCAGTCTTGGTCATATTGTTAACTAAGGCTCTCATTTCTGTCAACCACCCAGATTGAAAGGGGCAATGCTCATCTCCCAGGCCTTCATCCTATTACTCTTGGTTGCTTGTGGATGACTCTGGATCTGTCATCACAGACTCCAGCTCCTAAGTCTGCCTAGGCACTGCTTGGAGGACAGGAAGGCGGTGGAAGAATTCTGGAAGAGAACAGCATCAGAGGCCTGCAGTCACAGTAAAACCCAGGGAGTTTGGTAGGGGGAAATGAGCCTGGCTAAAAGTAAGCCCCCAAGTCCCAAAATGTGACGAAGGTAGGATGTCAGGCCCTGCTCTAGGCCTGTGAAAGTGAAATCCTTATTAAGATTTCCCAGGTGGAAGCTGAGATGTGACTATGGCATTCTTGGTCAGCCAGGGTGGGAAACTCCATTAGACGCTTAGCTCCAATTGGAGCTGAGGCTTGGGGTGATAGCTTGCCAACTTGGAGAAAAAAAAAAATCCTCAGGGACAGAGCCCAGGCCCTGAGTTTAAAAGAAAAAGTTTTCCAGGTGATGGGTGAGCATCTGAGTGTCACAAATCACTGCTTTTTGTGTTTGTGTGGTTTTTATAGTTTTTGGTTTTTTGTTTGTGTTGTTGTTGTTGTTGTTTTGCCCCTAAATCTGGAAAGGTGCGTGTGTGTGAGTGCCCTGAAAAAGCTGACAACCTCTGCTGTCCTATTGGCGCATGGAGTCACAAAGTCCCCACCCCTCCTCTCCACGAAAGAGCCAAGGAGAGACGGTCCGAGGTCGCGAGGAAGAAGACTAAAGTCATCCCCAGAATCCCGTGGCGACAAAGTCCCCACCTCTATTCTCCCAACCCCCTTTCCAATGAGCGGTGGCTGCGGAAACCAGAGCCCGCCCTGGGCGGACCCCGCGCGCCTCTATGCTCCTCCCTCCCGTGCCAGCGCCGCACCGGGAGCCAGCACCGAGCTCGGGGTCCCCGCGATGGGGTGCAGGACATTGCTTCTCCTCGTTTCTCTGGTGTGGGTCGCTCTGGGCAGCACCAGGGGCTCTGTGGCGGGTGAGTGGGGCTCGCGGGCTCCCTCCGAGGGGACCACTCCGGGAATTTGCGGGGTGCCAGGCTGCATGCTACCTGGGCTTTTCAGGGGCCGGAGGTGAAGAACTTGGGGGCACCTTTGTCTGGTGTGTGCTGTCCCCAGTTCTGCAGCTGCTGGTTGGACGAGGCTGGACGAGGCCGAGCCTCCTAGAAAGACCTCCTTAGATGAGTCCGGACATGGGGTGGGGGAGCTCCCCAAATCTGCGGGTGAGAGGGAGCTGGGGTGGGCTCAGGGACGCAGCGGGCGCCTTTCCTTCCTGGCATCCTCGCACAGGGGAGAAAAGGGTTTTTCTCCACCCCGCGGGCTCCCTCCGAGACTCTTCCCTGCCCCAGGTCCAGGCCCCCTGGGTTCGCTTTCTAGCTCTGGTCTCCTGCAGCAATGTGGCCCCAGGAGTCGGCAGGAAGAGTTGCCTGCCTGGACAAAGCGGCCAGCAGAAAGGTGATGGAGTTCTAGGGACCGCTAAGAAGCGACTTTCGTGGCACTTGTTGATACAACTTACATATAAGCAGATCACAGGGAGGGGATGAGCCCAATGGGGGTCCTGGGTGGCTGTGAATCACATGGTTCCTGAAGGGGGAAGTCGGTGTCTAATGCTTGCTGTTGGAGTTGCCCAGCATTTGCGAAGTCACCTGCTCTGACAAGTCATCTCAATCCCAACGGGCAAGTGCTTCACCAGACAGCAACCTTCCTCTCCTCTCCCCTCCAGGAAGGGAAGTCTGTGTGTGTGTGTGTGTGTGTGTGTGTGTGTGTGTGTGTGTGTGTGTGTGTGTACTCAAACTTGAACTCAGAGCCTTTTCCACCCATGCTGGCACTGTACCACTTGAGCCACACCTCTTCTTTTGGCTTTTTGCTGGTTAATTGGAGACAAGACTCTCAGATTTATGTGCTCCAGATAGCTTCAAAGTATGATCCTCAGATCCCAGCCTTCTGAGTAGCAGGTGGCTTAAGACACAGGCACCAGCAGGGAAGTCATTTAAATTTATGCAGGCTCTTTTTTCGTCGACCCACTGTTAACCAGAATGGAGGAGTTGTCATTTAACAAGGAACAGTTCATCTTTCACGAGAGATTGTAACCCGAAGGATTTGCTCTGATCCTGTGTAGTGTCTCTGTAGTGACTTACTTCCGCTGCTGTTTCTGAAACAGGGTTTGTTACTTGCTCTTTTCTTTCTTTCTCTTTTTCCTTACTCAGTAGTGATTGTCAACCCTTTCTAGTATGTAGACATCTTTATATCTGTTTTAGAACAGCATGCAATCATTGTACTTGATATATTAGCAAGAGAATTTAATATGTAAATCCATTACAAATTATTACAGGTACATTATACATCATAGGTATATAGCAAGTAGCTACCTATGGTGGAAATGTAATTTTTGAGACCAGTCTGCAAATAATGCATAGAATCCATCTGCAGGACAAAACACTGTTCTAATTACAACTTACCTAATGGGGGTTAGTCTTTGAGGGTTACAGTCAATCCTAATTGAAATCCATTTGGTAGGATGAACTGGAAGAAGCAACAGGAGTTAATGCTTTTGTTTAACAAGTATGCTGAGTGCTCATGGAATCCCAAAATCTCCCTCTTGTAATGCCTTATTTACCAGCCTCATTGAATAGACAAGAAAATGAGATCTTAAAGAGAGGAAATAGCTTTCTTGAGGATACATTGCCAGCAAGTGGTCCAATCTAAACTGTAACCCAGGTGGCCTGTTGACGAGCCTGCTCCCAGTCAGTAGTAATTAGTGACATCAAATGGTCTCAACCTAATAGTGTTGTCGCAGTTCATTGAGATAGCCTGGCTAGAATGTGCATGATGCTAACATGGTTAACCGTCCAATAATAAACAATATTTCCTGAGTGTAAACTAAGAGATGAAATCTAGACAGCAGCCTTCTGTGGTCCATTTCACTCCCACAATGCTGCAAAACTTGGAAGTAGGACTTGCTGACTCTTCCTTACAAATGGTATGTATCACATGGTTTATGTTTCCTAGGAACTGATGATTGGCTTTTTTTTTTCTGGGAATGTTATGTCAGTATAGCAAATTAAGTATACTCAGGCCTTTCTGTTGTTTCTTTCTATGGACCCCGCATATTAGGCTTGTTGTGTGTATGTGTGTGTGTGTGTGTGTGTGTGTGTGTGAGTGTCAAGTGTGTGAGATGTTGATGTTGTTGTTGTTGTTGTTGTTATGCCAGTCCTGAGGCTTAGATGCTGTCCTTTAGCTTTTTTGCTCAAGGCTAGTGTTCTATCACTTGAACCAGAGCTCCATGTCTGGATTTTTGCTAATTAATTGGAGATAAGAGTCTAACAGATATTCCTGCCTGGGCTGGCTTTGATGATCATCAGATCTTAGTCTCCTGAGTAGCTAGGATTACAGACAGGAGCCATCAGTACTCAGCTGAGGTTTGATTTTATTCATTAAATGCTTGAGGTTTATAGACATAAGGACAGGGCTTGAATAAAGCAGACAATATAAATCAATCTCATGCAAATAACTGAAAACTCAGAAATACTTATGTCTAGCTACTAGAGGTATTCTTATTTTAAAAAAAGCGTTTTTTAAGGACCAACAATTGAAATCTATTTTAAGATATATCAGTACATACCTAAGAGTAAATGAGTCAAAATACTGTTAGTATTCACACCACAAGGCTTTGAGACTTAACCAGAGCTGAAGAAAGTTCCAGACTAGTGTGTGTACACTTATGAGTGAGCCCCCATTCTACCAGTTAAACAGGCCTGTATTCAACAAGGCTCCAAGAACAACTCCACAGCATCAGCAAGAACTTGCTTGTAAGGAATGGCACTGGGGAGCTATGTGGATTTGGGGGTGATATCTCCTCCCTAGTGGAAGGAAGGTCTTCAAAAATGACCGTCAATAGTTGCTTATGGTGAAAACATGCTCCCTGTACCCAAGGAAGCCAGACATTCTCATGGCTCTGCTTCTTGGTCATCTAATGCAGACAAAGTGGAGTGTAACAGGACAAGACAGGCTCCCTGTGGAGAAAAATGCATTCCTGTGACCTGGCTCTGCAATGGCCAGCAAGAGTGTCCCGACGGGAGCGATGAGCAGTGTGGTAAGCACGAGTCAAGGCTGTGGGTGACATTAATCAGGGGGCATTGTGCTCCTCAACTGCTTTGTTAAGTGATAGTTTCCTAAAGATAGTAAAGTCGCATGAATCTGGCCCTGATTGGCAAGTAGACATTGAACATTACAAATGGGAAAATCTGAGCTGCTCTAAAGCCACAAGTTTATAGGCACCAAATGATGTCACAAATGGAAAATTGTACATCCAGATGGTGATGGGTTATAGGCACAATGCAGGAAAGATCATTTCAAAATGATCTGTGGAAACGGTGTAGATGAAATATACATGAATTTTGTGCTTACATTTGAGTTTCATTCCCAAGATACCTTACTAATGCAAATATTCCAAACATTTAAAACATCTGGAATCTGAAATACTTCTGATCTCACATAAAGCAGCTCGGTTGTTGCAGGTTATCATTAGGTAGGCTAGGGATGTGTCTTCAAATGCTGGTATCACCATTATCATATCAAGATCTTCCATGTAGGCTTAATCATCGGTAGAAATATTATTCAAACTAGACTAATCCAGAGAACAGAAAACTTTTGGAGATCCTGGTGCACAGAATTGCTTTTGTATACAATTAACTGGTTAAAGTTTTCATGCTCAAGCTCCAGTACTGGTGCATGTGCATGCACATGTACATGCACACACACATACACACACATATACTTATAGAAGAAAACCATAAAATCATAAAACTACAAAACTGCAATGGCCCTGTGGTGACTATGGGGACCTAAATTTATTTAAATACACCAAATTTAATAAAAGTTAAATTCTTCTGTCATGCTGGCCACATATTTCAAGTACTCAATTGTCACATAGGACTAGTTGCTATCATTGTAGACAGAACAGATATGAAACATTGCCATTGTCACAGCAGATTTTATTGGATAGTGAGTGGTGCTCTAGACAAATGATGGGGAGCATGCTTTACTGGGCTGCCAGGCAGTCATCCCTTGTAAAGAAGAGGTACTATGGGTTATCATAAGGGGAAGCATGAACAAGATAATCAAGTCCATGGTTGACTCCAGTGACAAGTTGGGGAAAAATGAGTGCTTTGCTAATTAAAAAAATAAAAGCTACCTGCATCCTGACAAACTCACCTTCCTACCTGCTGTTCTACATCTGCCACTGGCCTTCAGAGGAGGCATGTGGGGGACACGGCCATGCCTGGCAGTGTGATGATGGCAAATGCATTTCCATTGGATGGCTTTGTGATGGCACCAGAGACTGTTTGGATGGTTCTGATGAGGTCAATTGTGGTATGTATGACTTAGTTTTCCTCTTCTGTCACCTCTGTTTATTATCAGTATTTGTTAGCACCCACAACACTATCAAACAAGGAAGCCGTTAGCTGGCTTTGCACCATGTGCAATAAGACCAGATGTTATACTTATCTCTGGCTTTATAAGAGACTTTTAAATTCACTTGTTTTCTTTTTCTTTTCTTTTTTTCCCAAGCAGATTCAAAATAAGTGATTACCTTATTAATTCTTGAACACATCTTTGGAGTGGAATCTTAGTATACACAATTGAGACCATGTCCCCAGTGGCTTGCATCTCATTTAATTCTTGCTTTTCTATAAACTAAATCCATGAGCAAGCCGTACATAATGTGGAGACACAGGCTCATGGTCTGCTTCTACTTCAACCAGCCACCTTTTCCTGCCTTACAGAGCGATCAACAGCATGTCCATACCCAAAAGTCCAGTGTCCAGGGACGCTTCAGTGTCTGGATGCCTGGGAACTCTGTGATGTCCACCAGGACTATGCAGATGAGTCTGACAAAGCACACTGTCCCCAGAGCCATTGCCCACATGGGCAGTGGCAGTGCCAGAATAAGGTATGTGTCATGGACAACTGGAAATGTGATGGCACTGACCAGTGTGGTGACTCTTCAGATGAGGAGGCCTGTGGTGAGTCCTGCTTCCTCACTTGTTTTCAAGGGCAGGTTGGACTATGTGGGCGGCTTTATGCAACTTGCATTTTAATGTATACGAACAAGATAAAAGCAAGATGCCTCCTAGCAATAGCCAGCACGTAGTTATCCATGGAAAAGTACAAAAGTGCTTGAAATGAAACTCTTGAAATGAATGCTCTAAATATTGCCTGAAAAAGCTCCCAGTATAGACGATCTTAGAACACCTAAGTCCCTGTTTATGAAGGAAGCCTAATGGCAGATGACCCATGATCTTGTGTAGTGACTATAGAAGGGGCCAATTACTCCTTCAAGGAAGAGCACCCCCAAGAGCTCGACAAATGCTACATTTCCCCCCTGGACCCCACATGCTCCATGTACTAGCTTTTCCGACTTCTTCATAAACCACAATCCCATCCAATCTCTTCTAGAGTTAATGTTGTCATACCTTATATATTCAGATTCCAACATTTTTACAATGAAGTGAAATCCAGTTTCTTAAGGGAGTGCTTTTAGATGACAAGTTATATATACCATTCAGTTATAACTATTTAATTCTAGGTCCATCAATGGTTTCAATACAGTCCCAGGTATTTTAACACCTTTGTGATCAAATCTAAAGCTCTACTTCCTTGATAAATAGCTTTGAGAAGATACAAGATTCTTTCCTTCATAGATTTCCCCTGGGTTATAGAAATACTACCACTTTACTCACTGAAAAAGTTGTCTGTTGTTATCCTCCCCACAAGTACTGATGAAGACATGCTTAATTCCTGACACAGCTTCCTGTCCAGCCAACACAGTTAGGTGTGATGAAAGCAAATGCATCCTAGAATCTCTGATGTGCAATGGAGAAGCAGATTGTGCAGATGGTACTGATGAACCCATTTCATGTGGTAAGAAACCAATTACTTAGCTGCTGGTGAGAAAATAGGATTGAACAGCTAATGCCTTCGTTATCATAGAGGTTGGTTCTTCAAGAAAATACTCAGACTAAGATTCATACTTTATTATCTTTCAAGAATGGATTCTCTTATATAACTTTTAGCATTTGGTTGTAGACTTTGAGTGTAAAAAAAAAAAACGAAACTTTAAAACTTAAAGGGCCATTCCCATTTTGTAACTTTAGAAAACTATTTCAAACTATGTGGCTTCTGAAATGCAAATATAAATTTGCATGTCTTCAGGATGCAAATAAAAATTATATATAGAGCCAGCGATGTGTCTTCAAATGTCAGTGGCATTGTTGTCAGAAAAAATTCTATACCGAGGTTTTGGCTTAATCATGTGCAACAGTGTGGCTCAGACTACACTGCCCCTGACCTGCCTTTATAGGAAACCTTTCTAGGACCACATTGCACGTAATTGTCTTTGTATATGACCAACAATTTCAGCTTTACAGGCTCAGAGATTTTATATGACTGTTAAAACCGGTTTGCAAATTGAGTACAAAGACAACTACAAGATGTCTAATGAAGAAGTAATACATTTGTTCAAGACAAGATAGAGAATTCTCGAAAGTGTCAATGGAAAAAAAAAAGACTCAGGAAGAACTTTTCTCTAATGAGGAAAGAGGCTACTGAAAAGCAGAACCTTTCTGGCTCTTGCAACACGAATCACTGTTGGCTGGGCTGGGAAAGTGGCTCAGTGGTAGAGTGTTTGCCTTGCATGCATGAGGTCCTGGGTTGGATTCCTCAGCACTGCATAAGCAGAAAAAGCCGGAAGTGAAGCTATGGCTCCAGTGGTAGAGCATTAGCCTTGAGCTGAAGAGCTAAGGGACAGCGCCCAGGCCCAGAGTTCAGGCCCCACGACTGACAAAAAGAAAGAAAGGAATCGCTGTTGGTTTGGCAGGGGAAGGGGAGAGTGGGCATCTCATCTTATCACTTTGTCAGTTTGTTTCCTAGATCAACACCAAGTCTTCCCATATATCTTTTTGGTGAAACCTCGTTAGTAGTGTTAAAAGCTGCCAAAGAAATTTTGTACTTGAAGGAATACAAGTAAAAGATACTAAACGCATGAACCATGGAACAAAATAGAGGTTTTTGAGTCCTCTGTGTAGAGAATTCATTGGGGTGTGGAAATCAGTACCTTATTTCCTGAAGTAAGGAAAAAACACAGCCCTGCTGCAGGAGAGTAATAAAGACACTAGTACTTGAGATTGTCTAAGCTGTTGGCCTGTATGCCACTGCTGGAATTCCTATCATTCCCTTCATAGTTGTCCCTCAGAGCTCCAGGTACCCAGGCCAGTGGGCTAGATCAAAGGTTATCTATAACAAAGTCATTTGTTCCTCAGCTAGTATAGAAGTAAGCACAGTTCAGATGTTGGTCCTCCATTGTGTTCAATTGTTTTGACTGCTGCCTTGTCTCCACTAGGTAGAAACTGCTCCCTAGTGAATGGGGGCTGCATGGGCCTGTGCAGCGACACTCCCTGGGGAGTCTGGTGTGCCTGTGCTTCAGGGTGGCAATTACAATCCGATGGGCAGAGTTGTGGAGGTCAGAACTCATTGGTTCCTCTCTTTTCCGATACCTTTTATTGTGGTAACATAATATAAATTCTACCATTTTAGCTATGTTTAAGTGTACCATTTGTTAGCCTTAAGTATATTCATAATGTTGTGTAACCATCCTCACTGTGTATTTCTAGACTTTTCCATTGTTGCCAGTAAAGACTGTCTTCCCACAGAATGGTAAGTCTTCACTCCTTTCTCCCGTGTCCCCAGTAAACGCTACAGAATTGTTGTCTTTTGTGATTTTGTAAACTCCAAGTTCTTCATATAAGTAGAATCATACAATGTTTGTCCTTCTTTGTCTGGTTTATGTCACTAAGCATATCTTTAGGATATGTCAACATTACCTTTGTTTTTAAGGCAGAATGAAATTCTATTGTGTGTATAGACCACATCTATGGATGAAAGTTTTGGGTTGTTTCTGCCTTTGGGCCATTGTGAATAATACTCGTAGGAACATTGGTATACAAATAGCTGTTTAAATCCCTAGTTTCAATTCACTGGGTGTATTTCAGAAGTAGAAGGACTGTTTTTTGGATAATCATCGAACAATTTTCCATAGTGGCTGCGCCATTTAATACTCCCACCAAATCCTGCCAATGCTTATTTTCATCTTCCTGTGGCAATTGCAGGTCAACTATTGCCGGGTGAGACTATGTCAGATTTTGCATCCTTCCTTCATAGGGCTTAAAAAGTTTCTGTCATGGAATAAATAGATTTGTTATTTCATGCCTAAGATCCATGGAATAAGTGTCAGGATAAACTCTAAAATTAGAGTTTGCTGAATGTCCCAACTGTTCCGGCTAGCTGACCTCTAAGTTTTGCAGTCCTTAAGTTGCACTTAGCTGTCAAATGGGATTATGGTACATACATGGTAAAGAAATTTCACCTATCTTTATCCGTCAGAAATAATTAGAAAAGGTTTTGGTTCTACCCTGTTGTACTTGTATACAAAAAAAATCCATGGCGGTATTTTAGATGAAATATGATGAGCAGGACGAAGGATCTTTGTCCTGTTGCCCTGACCTAAAGGGAAGATCAGCTCTCTACCATGAGCCTCAAGGATTATCCCTACTTACTAATGCCCTTTCTTCCTGGTTCCACCTGTAACCCTAGTCAGCTGTGTAAGAGAAAAACAGATTTACTAAGAAGCATTAAATTTACAGTAGTTTTTATGTTAATGCTTTATTAAGAGTTTCTATGAGCCTATGTAAAGTTAATTCATTTTAATTGCATTTTAGTAAATCTTAATATCTAAACTTAATTTTTCTAAGCTAAATCAATAATTTAATCTATTACATTTGCTACTTCTTTATCTAAAGCTGGTGATTGTACTCAGATGGATGTAGGTTTTGTACATCCTGCTCCAGGATCCTGAAGCCCCCTACTTCATTTTCTGATCTATGGTAGGACTTGATTGGCCACTGAGTTGGCAGTAGCTCTGCACTGATTATTTTTCAGGAATAGGAGGGCATTATTCTCCTTTGCGATCTTGTAGCTCTGGAAGGAAAACTATTTTCCAGTAAAAACTCTTCGGGAACCATTTTCCTTAATAGTAAAACTAAATAAATCTCCCCTCGTTTTGTAACTTAAAATCTAGTCTCTATGATCAGGCTTTGAGAGTCAATTGCATCTTATTAAAGTCTACCAACAATACCTAAGAGCTTTATACCTTTTCTGTCATCTTAGAAGAGATATTCCATAGCACCCAGTGGACTCCAGATCCTACCACTGTCATTCTGTAATAATGTCTGGATGGCTTGGAAACATTCTAGGAATATTGCTAGGATAACATAGTCAGTATTTTGTACTAGCCAAATACCTTGGGAGCCTATATTTAAGTTTCTGCTAACTTATATTTACTATATATATAAAACTATATATTTACATTCACTATATATAACTATATACTTATATGCAGTATATATAACAATATATATATATAACTACATATATATATATATATATATATATATATATATCTGACTTACAATTCTCTGTCATCAGACGTAGATGAGTGCTCTGTGGAATACAGTCCCTGTGGCCAACTATGTCATAATACACCAGGCTCTTACTCCTGTGACTGTATTCAAGGTTACCAGCTTTATAATGGCACTGACTGTCGAGTTATAGGTAAGTTAAGCAAGTTAAGAAGTCCTACCTCCTGCTTATTCTTAGCCATAATTATAGAGAGCAGTGACATATACAATTGGTACTAGAGATGATCCTATTCTTTCTGTACAGGAGCAGTCATAATAGTCATTGCCCAAGCTGTAAGTTATAATGTGTCTTAAAATGATGTCCTATGAATGTGCTTAGTGTAGATGTTAGGGATAAGTAGATCTGGACAAGGAAAATAGGGTAATATCTTTAGTTAACAGGAAAGATGTGAAAGAAAGAATCATATTAACATGTCACTATTTCCTTCTATTGCAGATGATGATGTTAAAATTCTTATTGCATCAGAGCAAGAGCTTGGTATCCTGGACCGAAAGACGGGCATCTATGAGACTCTGATACCTATAAAATCAAGGCCTCTTTATGTTGCATATGACCTTGAAAGAAGCATTTACTTCTGGGTGGATGAAGTTTTAAATGTGTTTTTCCTTGGGAAGCCAAACTCTGTTCCCCTCTACCCAGGTTAAGAGTCTTAGCTGCTTAAAGCTGTATGTGTTAACCATCTGGCTATTACCAGTACAAAATATCTGAGATTATCAACTTAAAAAAAAAAAAAAGGAAAAGTGGTTACCCTTTTTGGTGGTTTCAGTCCACAGTCAGTGGCCCTATTTATTCAGGGCCGGTGATGAGATAAGCACATCATAGCATTAGTATTTGGTGGTGGAAACTTCTCCTGTATGGAAGCCAGGAAGCAAAGAGAAGGAGGAAAAGACTGCTGTCCCATCATTCCAATTAAGGGAAGACCAACAATGACCTAAAATATTCCACTAGGCTTCCCCTCTTAAAAGTTTCTACTAATACTGTTCCAGTCTGGAGACTGAGATTTTAACACATAGAACTTTAAAGAACATCCCACATCCAAACTATAACACCGGTCCGACATAATGTAAGAAGCACACTCTGACTCACTTGTCACAAGTATATAAAGACCCCAATTTGATGTAAGACTGGCAGTTTAGCTGCATGGGAACATCATAGAGCATTACCTGTGACTGGAAGGTATATAGTCTTGGTAGTTCTGTGACCTTGAACAAGTTCTTACTCACTTTGATTGTCCTAGTACTCACTGGGTGAGTAGGGGAATTAAACTAGACAGTGCATATGAAAGGATGGGTATAATGGTGGGAACAGAGAAATATTGTGGGTACAATTAAGTGGCAGAGCTCATGGCAATTCTCCCATTGACTATTGCCTGAGCTGAGGCTGCAGGCTCTCAGATTCCTTGTTTTTCTTCTGTTCAGGTTCCCTCCTTCCATGCAACTTCTGCATGTTGAAAACACCCTTGCTCATCTCAGGCCTCTCTTCCTTGGGTTCCATTTATCCTACTTTATAACTTGAAATCAGAAAACTTAGAATAGTCAGGTCCAAGTTTCTGCTTCCAAGGTAAGAGAGAAATAAAAGGAATGTAGGAATGTAATGTTTTCTTCTGTGTTCCCAGAACTTGCATCAGTGAACAGTATCTCTTTGGACTGGTTCACGGGACAGTTGTACTGGGCTAGTAGTTCTTCAAGAAGCATCTATGCTGGCTTAAGTGATGGCCGAGGCTACGTCAAAGTCTTGGAAAAGGATGTTGTGCCAGAACAGCTAGTTGTGTTTCCTGAAAAGAAGTAAGTAGACTTTCTTTTGGGGTATATCCAAAATCTTATCATTTTAAATCATAAATAAGATAGGCTTTTAAAACTAGATGTCACTTGCTTCCCCAAAATACTTCAAATTGAGCCAAACTTTTTCTTACATATTAAAGCAGCAATCTTTAGCATCATAAGTCATGTAGTGATTTGAAATCCCCATGAGAAAGCTTATTATTCTCAATGGGCTGTTGAGAATAATGTGTGCATGCATGCAAGTGAGCAAGACCCTCTAACACCTTGTTCTCCTGATGGCAGGTACTTGTACTGGGTAAATCAAGGTGAGAAAGGGGTGAGGACTATTGAAGCTGCAGGAATGGATGGCTCCGACAGGAAGGTGCTGGCGGTTGTGACTGCAGAGGAACCTATAGGACTAACACTTGACCACCTAAATGGCAGACTCTACTGGATCAGTGACTATAAAAAGGTACCCAGATACATCTGAAGGAAAAAGTAAATACTGTTTTGGTTGAAAGTTGGTATGACTCCAAAGCTAAGTAGCTAATTACAATATTCTTTTATATCTTGCATCAACTCTAAACTACCTTCTGGCTGTGAAAATAGAGAAAAATAAGGTGTAACTACATAATGTTTCTGCACAGGTCAGACAAGGTGTAACTACACAGCATTTCTAGGCAATGCAGCTGGGAGACCTGATATGCTTTTCTGACACACTCTATATTAAATCCCATTGGCAGTTCCCAGTAGTACAAGCCATGTTCTATGTTGTACCTTTAGTATTTACTTAGGTAATTCAGAGGTACTTTTTATACTCAGATTTCTAAGTTTTAATATTGCAGCTCACATTATCACATTTTCAGAAATGCCAAGCTAAAAGACAAGAATGCATAAAATCACAGGCTTGTGAGTCATCCTGCTAGGCCTGAAATTTCCTAGCTGTGATTTTTGTCTGGCTATGTTGCCTCTTTGAGAACCCTTTGTCTTGCCCTCTCTGAAAGTTACAGAATATCAAACTTATAAGGCAGTTGGAGAGTAGAGAGAGAAAGCATTTTATTCAATATCTATATTTGAATTAGTCTCTTTTCCAGCACATCTATACAAGAAGCAATGCAATCTATTGACTTTAGCATTAGCATCCATTAATCTTCTTATTCACTTGCATCAAATTGTTATCAAGTACAGATATTAATCAATGTCCAAGCTATTGGGGGTGGCACCAACATCATCAGTATCTGTAACGTTCTCATGCTCTCACGAGATTTCCTTCAGTCTATAGAGACAGTCAAAGTGGACGGCCATGGGAAGCACACCTTTCCTAAGATCTTCTTGGAATATGAAGCCCCAATAGGACTGGCCATATTTGAGAACTCTTTCTTCTGGGCAAATAAAACACAGCTGTTTCACACCTCACCCCACAGTCCAAGGGAGAAAGAGGTGTTATTGGATGCCTCCGTGTCTGCTTTTTCAGTCCTTCACAAGTCCCAGCAGCCTAGGAGTAAGTACAAGCCTTACTTTTAAAATGCTGATGAATCAGAATATGAACCCCTGTAACTGCCTAAGGTGCTACCTCAGTTCCTGGGTACTTGCTCTTTTGTGGAAAGGAAATGAGCTGGATATCCTAGACTTACATGGAACTTCTAAGTAAGATGAATGCAACAAAGGCAGTCCCAGGAGACACATCCCAAGTTATGTGCCCTGTGTCTGTCTAGAGCATCAGCTAGATTTTAAAGGTTTGAAATACAGATAACCTAGGGCAAGAAACTATTTGCAGAGAGGCTGGGTGCGATAGCTTATTCACTCTCATGTCAACTGACAAAAAAGAAAATTGAAGAAAGTCTGCTACCTTGCGTGGAGAAAGAAGTTAGAATTTTTCTTGTTGTTAATTTGAAATTCCACCTCATGTTTAATTCAGATAATGCTTCTTATGTGGATTTGAAAAACTCATCAGAAAATTTTCCTCTCTGAGGGAACATTCCACTAATACAGGGAGACAGTCATTGTTGTCCTAACTCCAAGGGAGAAGATGCTGTTGCTTGAAGCTTTATTTGGCTCTAGCCTAAGACAGAGAGATAATTGTTATCTGAAAGACAATCAGGAGACCATTAGGATTCAAAGATCAGACCCATAACCGAGTCATGAAGTATATTCAGACTTTTCTTAAGGCAAAAAAGGCTTACTTCTTTTTCTTTATTGAGTTTTCAAGTGGCCTGGATAAATAAATCTGAAATATTCTCTAATATGTCTCTATTCAAATTAGGCAGAGACCCAGCATGTGTTCCCGGTTCTTGCAGCCATTTATGCCTCCTATCCCCGGTCCACCCCAAGGGCTATAAGTGTGTTTGTCCAGAGGGACTGTTTCTTTTACCTTCTGGCACCTGCAGTGGTAAGTAAACCAGGTAAAATGCGCTGAACTCAAGGAAGCGAAGCCCAGAGTAGTATGATTAAGTGAACAGTAGCATGGAATACATTTATCTTTGTGCAGCTAACATGACCATGCGCAGAGCTCCCTCATCTTCCCAAACTCTGAACCTATTAAGCATGGCCCTCACTTTCTCCCTTTTTTATAGTCCCTGTCAGCTACAATTCTATTTTCTGCCCAAAGGAATCTGCCTATTCTAGGTACTACATTCATAAAGATCATGGATACATGTTTGGTTGAGTAAGGTTGAATGATATTCCATAATTTGCATATACCACACTTCATTTATTTGTATGTTGTTGTGTAATTGTCACTGGTTATATTTCAATCAGGGAAAAAGTAGTTCATACCACTTAGTCATATGTAGAAATTTTGCAAATTTTTTGGTACAAGAAATTCTGTTCTTCAATTTTGTCTTACTTTTTTATTGCTAATGTAAATTCTTCATAATATGCATATACCACATTTTATTTATTTGTATGTTTTTGTATAATTGTCACTGGTTATTTTTCAATCAGGGAAAAAGTAGTTCATACCACTTAGTCATATGAAGAAAATTTGCAAATATTTTTGGTACAAGGAATTCTGCTCTTCAATTTTGTCTTATTTTTGTATTGCTAATGTAAATTCTCCATACGCTAGTTTACCTTCAAAAGATGAATGCGACATACATAAACCACTTGAACATCTTTACCCAACATATTTGGCTTTTATCGACACAATATTGAGGTTTTAAAAAGAATAAATTAGTTAAGTGTTTGCATTGCTTTAAAGTTTTCTGTGGCACTGGAATTTGAACTCTAAGAGCTTGCTATGCAAGTACACTATCATTTTAGCCATGCCTCAGTTGATGTTTGTGTTCAAACTGTTTTTGTGGGGGTATGCCAGTCCTGGGGCTTGAACTCAGGGCCTGGGTATGGTCCCTGAGCTTTTTCGCTCAAGGCTAACACTCTACCATTTGAATCACAGCTCTACTTGTGGGTTTTTGTTTTGTTTTGTTTTGTGTGGTTTTTTTTGTTGTTGTTTGGTGGTTAATTGGAAATAAGAACCTTATGTGCTTTCCTGCTCAGAATGGCTTCGAACTGAGATTCTCAGATCTCAGCCTTCTGAGTAGTCAGGGTTACAACCATGAGTCCACAGGTACCTGGTTCAAGCTATCTTTTTTTAAATTTAAATACAGTTTACAGGAGTGTGTCTGAATGAAGTTATGGTGTAATAAACTGTACTGGAAAACTCATCAGCTGACTTTATTTTATTTTGAGGACTATGTATTGTATACAGTTAAATGCAAATATCTGAGTATTTTTCATTAATGAAGATAAAGTACATAAAATTCTTTTGTACCAAAATGGTATTCAATCAAGCAGATCATTACTTTACTTTTCTCATAATTCCGCATTAGCCTTTCAGCAAAAATCCAGATGAACTGGTGCCTTACTTTGACTAAGTAATCCACTCCTCTAGGAGCAATGGCAGTCAAGTTGTATGTGTGCTTCAGGCACAGACTGTAGAAGAAACCTTTCTCAGAACCATTCTTTAAGAGGGAATCCTGACTGTGTAATTGTTTAGGAGATGGTGGAGAAGAGGAGGGGGAAAAATTTAAGAGGTGAATAATTGTATAATGTATTGCCACTATATATAAGGATATAAAGAGTCTCAAAAGCTATTGATCAATAGGGGTTTGGTTAGGCAGGGAAAGAGAAAGAAATATAAAGGCTTATTCTGAGCAACCCACAATATATGTACATTTAAAATACCATGGTGAAACCGTATGGTGTAATTTCAATATACACTACAAAATAATGACACAGTAAACTAAAATGTGTTCTGTAGGTGTATGGGTTATACCTGTGAGTTGGAGGTGGTTGGGCTCACAAAGTGGAGTAGATGTAGAGGAATACTGCCAGGTTGGATGGTTGCATATATGACAAGAGAACAATTACACATGTTGAAATTGTTTTAAGAAGATAAGAGAGAGTAGAAAGAGAAGGGGTAAGAGAGAGTAATGTGGGTACGATTGATTGGAATTCATTTGTACATGCATGGAAATGTCACAATGAAACCCCCTTATACAACTAATAAAAGCAGCTCAGTTGAAAAAAAAAACCTCTCCTCTTCCTTCATAGAGTTAAAACTTGTGTTTTCCTCGGGCAAACATCTGTACTTGTTAAAAGTTGGCTCTATGGGATCTGCTATAGAGAAAACTCTGATTCAAGAGCATCCTGAGAACATCTATTTATTGGATATTGACTGGAAAAGGAACCTGATTTATTGGACAAATGCCCAGGGACATTTGGTCTACTCAACTGGGAATTCAGGACCAATGCAAGAGATTTGGACAGAGCATACAGGTAAATGAAGGTGACCATCTTGTTTCCCAGTTCTCTGTTGTTTTCTGATTCTAAAATAGCTAGTACTATGAAACTTTATTCTGATCTGAATAAGCTTTCATAGCAAAGGATGATCTTAGCTAATTTAAATGCTAAGCTTTCTGATTTCCCTTCACTCTTAGGTGGCAGGTGCAGACTATCAGGAGGTTATGATTTAGAGAATACTTGAGATATAGAAATAAGTTTGAAAAATTTTCTGGCTTTAAGTCAGGGGAGGATAGAAAAGGGCCTTTTCTTCTTCAGGTTTGCATTGCAGATTTTTCTTACACTAATATAGAAGCAGTTTGCAGTGCAGATTTCAGAGAGAACTAGCAAAAACATTTTGTTAATATGTTAATAGGTACTTTCTCTTCCCTCCTACACTCCAAAAAGCCACACCCCATCCTTACATTTTCTGTACTCATCTAAAATGCAAACACCTCTAGAAAAGAAAGCTTGAGACTTGAGCTCTGGAGTGAGTAATTAGATTTCTAAATATCTGTGCCCTGGGCAGTTGGCCGAATATGAAGGATAGGTTTTACTGCAAGAAGTATCATTTGACATACAGGCTCCTGAGCCATCCTTCAATGCAGTATAACCTATCCAGACTCTAGTGGGAGAGCACAATATTTGACACATAGATACTCCCAATATTTGGCTCAGAAAGTATTCAGGAGAAACTGAAAGGGGTGGGCATAGTCCCATGTATGCGAGGGCCGTCTAGGGGGACCCATGAGTGAAAATATCTTTCCCCTTTATTAAGGTGGCTTCTTTGATCTGGCTGATCTTGTTAAGTAGGTTCTGTGTTTCAATGATCAAGAATATGTGAAAGATTGATGATTTCATGTGTGTTGGATTTAGTGTTGAGTATTGAGCCTTGGAGGCTGTGATGGTCTGCTTGCTGTTCCTACAATAAATATTGGAGATAACCACTTATAAAGAGAAAAAGTTTAAAGAAAATGAGAAATGATACAGAAGGGTTACACTTACATAAGTCAGTTAATGAGTACATTTTGTTTTTAACAGTGTCACCTCTTCCCTCATTTTCTCCCAGCTTTTTCCCTCTTGACCTTCTTCCTCCTAAGTTGTATAGTTCATTTTCAGCATAGTGTCTAGTGAGTATCACTGCTGACTTAGTTCATCTTTGTCCCACGGTTTCTATGCTTCCCCTTCCCCTCCCCAAATTAGATACACTTGTATATAAGACAAAGGGTTCAGAAATAAAAAACAGTGACAAAGGGAATTGACCAAAGAAAAAGAAAAAAAGAACTGCAAGCAGTACTCGGAGTTCATTTTAATAAGTATTTTTTTTTTTTTTTTTTTGGCCAGTCATGGGGCTTGAACTCTGGGCCTGAGTGCTGTCCCTCAGCTGTTCAGCTCAAGGCGAGCACTCTACCACTAGAGCCACTTCCGGTTTTCTGAGTGGTTAATTGGAGATAAGAGTCTCATGGATTTTCCTGCCTGGGCCTGCTTTGAACCATGATCCTCAGATCTCAGCCTCCTGAGTAGCTAGGATTACAGGCGTGAGCCACCAACACCCAACTCAATAAGCATCATTTTATATAATCATTTGCACATAGCTATTGATCCTTTGTGATCCTCTCCTAAGAATTTCCTCCTTTGTTTAGATGCACTGCTTTTGTTTGGGGGGGGGGGGGGGAACAAGGGTGCTTGCTGACAATGACAGGACATGCATTATGGAATAAAACTAAACACCTCATGGCCAAGGAGGAAAACAGAAAGAAAGGAAGGAGCTGGGTATGCACAATCCTTTTCAAAGCCATGCACAACTTCAGTGACCTGAAGATCAGCCACTGGACCCTGCCTCTTAAAAATTCCACCACTGCCAACAGCAACACATGAGTCTTTGAAGAATGTTCAAGAGCCAAATATTGCAGTGGTTAAAAACTTGACAAAAGCAAATAGTATCACCCCTCCTATCTGGACTTGTTCATAAGCTGATGGCCTTCTTAGCTTATTTATTCATCCAAGTGTATTGATGTTGTTCATGTTTTATTTTGTACATATTAATATTGTCTTCAGGTTGATTATTTGGTAGTATTGTAGTTTGAACTCAGGTGTTCTACCACTTGAGCCATACCCCCACCCAGCCCTGCATTTTGAAAACTGAGGCCAAAAATTTTCAGATTAAATTCCTAGTCAAAATTCTAAATTCCATTTTAGAAATGGAATATGTCTTTAAGAATCAGTATAACATTGCTCAAAGAGCATTTCATGATCCAGGCACTTTGGACTTTCAACCTGGATTCTGTTAAAGGTTTCAATTAAATCTATAACAGACAAAAATATGAATTCTCTGTAGATGGCAGAACCTCAGGGGAAGAGAGATACCTACTCTTATTAATTTGACAATCTTACCTATGTCAACTTGTCTAGGCAGGAATGATTTCACAGACATGAAGAGAAATCCGAAGTATGATTTGAGGAAGTTTTTCCTCTATACAAATCCAAAGGATAGTTTGCACCCTAAAGCCCAGTATGTGGGCTCAGATATTTTGTCATGGTGATGAGTAACTTTCTAGCACATTGAGGAATAAGTGTGTGTACAGAATTTGGCAAATGTGTATCATAAAGTTTACTGCTATGAAGTATATGTAACATACTTTCTCCAAATGACAAAATATGTGATATTCTTTATTGTAAAATCTTTATTGTTGTTTCAACAATGTATTCTTTTGGCAGTATAGGAGTTTGAATTCAGGACCTCATCCTTGCTAGGCTAATGCTCTGCCACTTGAGTCACATCCCCAGCCATGCTTTTTGCTGGTCATTTTGGAGATGAAGCTGAGTGGATTTTTCTGCTAAGTCTAACCTTAAATTGTGACTACAGGTGTGAGTCACCAGTGCCTGGCTATTTCAATGATTTTTGACAAACTTACTTTTTATTTGTTTTTATTCTGGTACTGGGACTAGAACTCAGGGCCTCAAGCTCTCCCCTGGCTTTTTCACTCAGGACTGGCACTTTACCACTTGAACTACAGCTCTAGTTTTTTGCTGGTTAATTGAAGATAAGAGTCTCACAGATTTTTCTTCCTGGACTGGTTTTGAACTTCAATCCTCAGATCTTAGCCTCCCGAGTAACAAAAATGACAAATCCTAGCTGCCAGTGCATGGTCAAAATCCTTTTTTATATTGAATTTTTGGATTGGAAGTTAATGTATAGTTGGGATTTAACAATCTATTAGTAAGTATCTTCTTTTTACACAATCAGGTAAAGAAGGCATTGAATGAGTGTGGTTTTGACATGGGTGTAGTTTGACCCTTTTGTTTAATAAGTGATACAAAGGTAAAGTGATGAAGAATTACTCCATCAGGGTCATAAATTACTGATTTCCTGAGTGAGATAATACATTTTAAAAAATAGAAAAAATGGCCTTGATTTTTGTGGTATTTAAAAGTCAAAGATACGACACATTATGGTTAATCTGTATTAGTAATAGTTTATCACTTTTGTATGTCAAGACTAGGAGTTGGCAAACTTTTTGTATAAAAGACCCAATAGTAAATATTTCCATTGTGATAACTCCTCAGCCATAGTATCATGAAAGTAGTCAGAGATAATGGATACATAATTCAGTATAGGTTCACCAAACATATGTCTAAAAGCAGGCAACAGCCTGGATTTGGTACAAGGCAATTACTTGCCAGTTCAGATAAGAAAAGGAAAAATTTACATAGAACAACCACACCTTGATTTGTAGTACTTACGATTTTCATGGTGCAAATATTCCTACAATATCAGATTACAAGCTCAAGTGTGGCATGATGACATACGGAGTTGGGAAGTGGTACCAAAGCTCTATTGTATAGATTCAATTAATACAAGCAAACTAGAGTAGAGGTAGCAGATTAAGCAGCTCAAATCCAAAACTCTGTACTCCAAAACTACAAAATCTGAAAGCCTATGAACCTTATGATATGATAGATGGGAAATTCCACCCCTGAACTCGTGTTGACCTGAAAATTTCCAGGGTGCTGAAAATATTGTATAAAACATACTTTTGGCCTATTTGTACGGGGTATGATGAAACATGAATGAAGTTTGTGTTTAACTTTTGGTCTCATCTTTAAAGATATTGTATTATGTACATGCAAACATCCCTCCTCCAAATGCATTTTTGGTCCCAAGCATTTTGGATATAGAATACTGAACCTATATTAGTAAAATATAGGAAAACAAGTTATGAGTTGAATATTTAGTACTTTTAGTAAATCAATACATTATTTATTTCTCTCTATTGGCCATTCTGCTTACAGTATTCCTGAACTGAGTAAGTGGATACTGTGTAACTTAGCATCAACACCCTGCTGAAAAACAACAGACTCTATTTTATATATTCTAACTCTAATTCACAAAACAATCCTACAAGAGTAGAACTGCGTGTTCTGAATGTGCATTTCCAGAAACAAGTATGGAAGTTAACACCTCCCAAATGGAATAAGCACTTTGGCTTGACAGCTTAGTATTGTTCTCAAACCTCATGTAAGATTAACTTAGCCCCAGCTGGCTCTGGCCTAGCTGCAGTGAATGTAGTAGGAATAGTCAGAATAGTTTGAAGGTTGGTGCCTGATCCAATTATTCACATCTAAAAATGGCTCCTTTGGTTTTCACACACTTGATCCCTATTATACTCCTGTCTTCTAGATGTATATATTTTCATTGTCTGTGCTTTCTATAAGTGACCTTCCATACACTGGAGTGGTGTCACAAGCTGGATCTCTTCTTGCCTCTGGCAATCTCAGTTCTACTTGCTGGGCATGTAACTGATTGATTTCCATATTTATCTGTAAGAGGGAGGAATGTGGATATGCATTCAAATGTAAGCTTTTCCATGTATGTAAACATCCACTCTATAAAATGTAGTGACTACTGCCCTTGCCAGGTAGCTATGAGAAGCTAAGAAACTCCTATGGCAAGATACTGGACCACCAGTAAGCATGTGATGAGACTCGGCTCGTAAATAAGAACTATAAGGTTTCACATCCTTCCTTCCTTCCTTCCTTGTCTATCTTGTCTCCTTGATCCTGTTTGAACCTTTGTAGGAATTTACTTGAAACCTTTTTCTAATGGAGCTGCTACTTTTCCTCCTACAGTCTGTGCAGCAAATGTGGACATATCAACCGGGAACCTGTTCTGGTTGCCCTGTGACCGAAGTACTATCCAGAAAACCAGAATTCCTGGTGTAGACACACACACCCTCTATAGTGCCCACAGCATTATACTGCAGCTGCTGCTCGACTGGCCGAGGAGGGCACTGTACTGGGTGGAGAGTGGGAAGCCCTTACAAAGCATGACCCTTGATGGCAAAAACAGACAGGAAGTCCAGAGAGGCACCTGGATGGCAGACACCCGGATGGCCTTAGATTTGGGCTCAGCTAGTATCCTCTGGATCACCAAAAAATCGGGTAAGTGCTGTACAATGAATGCAGTAGACAGAAGTATGAGGGGATGAGCTAGATCTGAACAGTCTTGGTTTTAATGTAGTACTTCTAATCACTCCTTTTACACTTCTTATTACTTGGGGGGGGGTCTGTGCTGGGCATATATATATAATTTTTAATTAACACAATAATCATGCATACTTATGGGGTATCGTTTGATACTTTGACACATACAAACACTATGCAATGATTGGGTAATTAGGATATCCATTCCCTCAAACATGTCTTCGTTGTGAGAACTTGCAAAATCATCTTTTCTGCCTATCTTGGTTATCCTAAGCACTAGTTAAACATAAGATTTAACTTTTAATTTTGACTGATAAGGTTTAGATAAGTCACAACGCAAACTCATCTCCTATCTAAAAGTCTTATTATTGGATTCATAACATAGAAAATCTTGTAAGTAATCTACTTAATAGGTTTTTGAATACACTTGGTAGTTTTTGTCATATTTTCAATCTGTTTCTATTTCTACAAATAAAAAGAATGGAAATGAACTTCCATTGCAAACAAGGTACCAGGCTGAATTTGGAACTTGACAATTGGAACAGTTATACCTATGCAGATGAAGTTGCTTATTTTCTTCTCCCCAAACCATCCTTGAGACCTGCAGCTACATGCATGGTGACCCAGTGTTTTTAGTACACATCTTATATACCAAATGGCAGACCTAGGCCCCTTACTTTTCTGAGGCTTAAGACACTTTTACTAGGATATATATATATATATATATACATATATATATATATATATACATATTATATGTATGTATATAGTATCTATATACATACATATATAATACATATAAAACTAAATATATATATAAAACTATATATAATATGTATATATAAAAAACTAAATATATATATAAAACTAAAACCTACAAAGCTTGATAGGAAGAGTATTTTCTTCTTTTCTGTTTTGGCCTTTGAACCCCACTCAGCTAGAATCCATACACACAGTACACCCTCATTCTAGCTCCTAGGATCCTTATTCTGCATCACCTTCTAAGACCTAACTCTTCCTTAGGCTTGCAAAGCCTGAGTCTTCTGAAAAACAGAACATACTCTTTGAACAAGTCCTGGAGCTGGAGTGAAGGGATTATAGTGGCCCACGAGCCCTACCTGGTAACTGTGGACATGACAGATCTTGTGCTATGGAACAGGAAAACACTGGAGCCCTTCTCTGTACTAAAGGAGCCACATATAAGGAAAATGATCATTTTGGCAGAGGACCAGGAAGGACAAGGCAAGTCTTCCTTTGTTGGGTTGTGATTTCACCTTTCTGCTTCACAGTGCCCTTTTCAGTGTATCTTTCTGACCATAAAATCCTGAGTATCTGTAAGTCCGTCTTGGCAGTTGTCCCAAGCCACAAATTCAGCAGGCCTTCTCCCTAATTTGCCCATATTCTGGAAATATAACACATTTGTCAAAGTGGCCAAATGACATAGCTTGTGGTAGGACTCAAAGAACTTTTCTTATCATGGTGCCTTTGGGAATATCGCCTTGCACATTAGCATACTCTAAGGCTCTTTACCTAGAAATAATGAAATCAGTTTATGCTAAGAAAGTTTCCCACTTAGGTTACAAAAGACCCCTCCTCCATTTTTTTTTCATGGAAGACATGGCAAGTAACATCTTGCAGGGAACTTTGTGACACTTCTAAGGTATGGGTATGTCATTATCCAAAAATACTTGGGAACAGGTGTGTTTTGGATTTGGGAGTATTTATTTATACATAATGAGATAATTTGGGGATAGTTTCCAAGTATAACCATGAAATTCATTTGGGTTTCCTATACACTGCATACATTCCATCTGAAGGAATCTTAATGCAATAGTTTTGGCTCTCATATTTTCCCTGTGACCTGTTCCATGAAATCAGGTGTCAAATTTTCTGTTGTAACTTCATGTAGGCCATCACGAAGTCCCCAATTTGGGGGTATTTTGGATTTTAGACTTTTGGATTAGGGATGCTCACTGTGCCCCAGGAAAAGTAACATTCTTCCTTCTGTTGAAGTTGTGTCAGAGCAGTTCAGATGAATCTGCTCAACGCTGGCTTTACTTATCTTCTTTTCAGATAAGCCTTTGGCACAGAGCCAAATGCATCTAATGTTGGATCATGAGGCAGAAAGAGGAGGTCATACCACAGGTGTCAGAGTGTTTGTTAGCAGAAGCAGCTGGCCATCCTCAGGAAGAATAGAAGCCAGAGGGTGCAGGACATAAGAGTCCATCATTCTCTTCCTTCTCATTCTTCTGTCTAAACTGCCTTACTTTTTGACTCACTAGTTAGTTAAGCATTAGGTATAGGGATGCATTTCTTAGGTAGTGAAGCATGTCAGTAAAGTGAACAATCCCACCTTTGATTATTCTAACACAACAATTCAGTTGCTATAATAGCAGCTGAAGAGACTAATTGGTAACTTTCAATGATATAATTTTATGCATCTCAACAAATGAGTGTGTTTTATGTTGGCTCTTGTTCTAGGCCACAAGGTACTAGAACATGGAGCCAGAGGGTAGTCCCACAGCAGTTAGAAGACAATTTGCCCAACTTCAAAGCCAATGGCCTTAAGAAAGCACACTTAAACTCAGGACATAATCTTTGGATTGGTTTCATTTTTTTCTTCTTATAAAAGTAGACAAGGATTTCTGGAAGAGGGGACAGTAGGAGGAGCACACTCACAGTGTGGGCTCCTCCTGGACTGATTTGCTGAAGCTACAGTTTGCTCTAGATGCTGAGGATGAAGAATCAGTCCCTGCGATCCACCCTCCTCCTCCTCTCCCACCTCCACCCCCTGTGCTTTGCCTCCCATCCTCGGTCCTCTGTCGAGATGAGAAGGAATGCATTTCTCAGGAGTTCCTTTGTGATGGTGAACGTGACTGTCAGGATGGCTCCGACGAAGAACACTGTTCTCAATTCTGTCACAGACCAGGTCTGTTACCCTCTCCTGTCCTCAGTCTTTTATGCCAGGAACATTGGTGCATGATAAGAATTGCAAGAGTTACTCAATTCTAATCAGACCAACTTCCCCCAACAATTTAGCATTGATGAAAGCCACATTCTTTCAGAATGCAGAGTATGGATATACATGTTTTCCACTTAAATCATGTGCTTACCTATTGCCTTCTTGCTTCTTCAGATTTTCTAAGCGTTCCAGTATTTGCCTTTCTATGAGCTGAGCCATAGAGTTTCCTCAATGGGTCACTTAGAGATGTGGGTAGTGATCTAACCACACAAATGGGGCTTTATTTAAGTGACTTAGTTAAGTTTCTAGTTTACAAATCAACTAGATGCTAGAATTTGGATCACATGATCTTAGTTTGAGAGTAAGATCCCAGAACAAGAACAAGTGCTGGTGGCTCATCAGTACCTGGCTCATAACCTAAGCTACTCAGGAGGCTAAGATCTGAGGATCACAGTTCAAAGCCAGCCCAGGCAGGAAAGTCACCAGAAAATCGGAAGTGGCTCTGTAGCTCAAAGTGGCAGAATGCTAGCCTTGAGCAAAAGAGCTCAGGGAGAGTGTCCTGGCTCCCAGTTCAAGCCCCACAACCAACAAAAAAGAACACACACACACACACACACACACACACACACACACACACACACAAATGAAGTTAGTTATCTAGTATTGACTCTTCCCTATGACTGATGCTTTTGGGCCTTTCTGTGTAAGATGTGTTCCAGTGTTTGGATGGAAGCGGGTGTATAGAGGAGAAATTCCACTGTGACGGGGCTCAGCATTGCTCAGATGGGTCTGATGAGCTGGGCTGCTGGAAGCCAATTGAAGATTGTTCTCTGCTTTGTGATAACAACACCCGCTGTATTCCCAAGAGTTGGCTATGCGATGGGAACCCAGACTGTTCTGACAAAAGAGATGAACAAAGATGCAGTAAGTTCTGCTGGGCTTCCTGGGAGTATTTTGATCCTTTCTGTATCTGGTTGTTCTTATTCATGGTGATGTTCATTCATGTTTTCTGTAATGTTACAGTGAATGGTGAATTAGCAGGGATTGAACCACTGCTCTTGAAAAATTCAAAGCTAGTTTCCTGTGAGTCATAGGTTATAAGGTTTTTGTTAACCAGTCAGTAGATAAGTATATGTGTGTTTCTCTTTGACGACAACACATATATGTGTTTATCTTGATTCATTAATATTGAACTAACAAAGCTATAACTCATGTTGAACAGCTAGCTTATCTGACAAAACGTTTTTTTCTTAAGACCCATCACATCCTTCCTGGGCTTAGGAGCACTAGACAGCACTTCAGTTGTTTACAGGCCATTTTAAACAGCATGATTACCAAAAAGTGCACAATTAGAAAAAGTGTGGTCCTAAACTGACTACAAGTAAGGGACATTTGGTCACCATCTTCTGACACTGACCATCAGTGCCACTTTGTTTGACTCCAGCTGGGAACACCCACATTGAGTGACTTGAATATTTTAGGTATGTCTGCAAATGATTGTGACAGTGCCAAGTTCTGATTTGGGGTTACACAGAAATGTTAGTGAGCAGTGGAATGTACAAATATGGACCCCACAGAGATCAGAGATGCACTGAGAAGAGGATTTTAGAGATTAAACAATTGACCTGTTAGTGGAAAACCAGTCTTCTTTACAAACCTATTTCTTGTTGAGTTAGAAGGTAGCATTTTGAAGATTTAAATGTTGGTCCTAGGTCTTTTCAAATGATGTGCCATCTCATTTATAGCATAGAGAGTCTTTATTTTTTTCTTACTAGTGAAATATTTCAAAGACTCACATTACTTTGTGGGACCAGTGTAGAAAAGAAGATATTAAGAACTGAATTGGGCAAAGGTGAATTGGGAGGAGGCTCCAAAGCCAGCAGTTATGATTGCACTTGGAGTCAGTAGCTAGAATGTCAGGAGGTACCAGATACAAGAACAAAGTAGGGAGGAATTCAAAGTATAATTTCCTTTTTAATACATGTTTATAGTTTTTCCAAAACCTGATCTTTCTTTCCTTCTTTCCTTCCTTCCTTTCTTCCTTCCTTCCTTCCTCCTTGCTTTTCTTTTTTTCTTTCTTTCCTTTGTTTCTTTGTTTCTTCCTTGCTTCCTTCTTTTCTTAATTCCTTCCTTCCTTCCTTCTTTTTCCTTCTTTCTTTTTTTCCCTTTCTCCCTTCCCCCTTTCTTCCTTTCTCTCTCCCTTCATCCCTTTCTTTCTTTCTTCCTTTCTTGCCCTTTTAGCACTCATCCTAGGGCTTCAATTTGACTTGGGTGCTGTCCCTGAGCTTCATTGTTGAAGGCTAGCACTGTACCACTTAAACCATAGCTCTACTCCTGTTCTGAGGCTTTTTTTTTTTTTTTTGGTAGTTTTTGGATATAACAGCCTCGTGTATTTACCTGCCTGGGCTAGCTTCCAATCTTGATCCTCAGATATTAGCCTCCTGAGTAGCTAAGATTACAGGTATGTGCCACTGGCACCAGGCTCTTTTTTTCCCTTTAAGTAACAGCAATTAATATCTATCTGTAGGCATTGAGCCCAAGAATCTAAAGTACAGAATGTTTTGGATGTTGTAGAAAATTTTCTTTTTTTATAGGTAAATAACAATCTCAGAGGATAGTCCTTACTCTGCCTTTCTCAAGGCTCTTCTTCATGTCTTCCCTTCCCTGTCTTTTAAGCCCTGTTTTCTGGTACAAAAATAAGGATCTTTCAACTGGAGTGAGAGCTAATTCCTTTGTAGGGGATGAGATCCTGTGTGGGTCCTTCCTGGTGCAACTCTCAACTTGAACCTCATTCCTGCCCTAATACCTGCTGGGACTAATACCTTAGTTCGCACAATTGCCACCTGGGAGAAGCCAAGGGGTGGTGGGGTGTCTTCAAATCATTTTATCACTGAATTATTTCATACCCAAGTTCTTACCTAAGGCTTTATCTTTGCAGTTCATGAAAAATGCAGCCCCTCTGAATTTCAATGTGAGAATGGCCAGTGCATATCTTCCTCTCTGCACTGTGATGGGAACCGAGATTGCCTGGACCACTCGGATGAAGAAGGCTGCTCTGTTGCCTGGCCTCTGAAGTGCCCATCATGGGAGGTGAAGTGCCCGAGGAGTGGAGAATGCGTTTTGATGGAATGGATATGTGACCATGATCTAGACTGCAAAGATGGAACTGATGAGAAGGTAGCACACTCATTTTCCAGAAATGAAGTATATTTGCCCCTCAATACCCACAGGAGACTAGTGCTGGTACCCTCAAGGATTCCAGAACCTGTGGATGCTCAGATCCTTCATGTGGAATGGCACGGGATTTATATGGACCTGTTTATATCTCCTACATACTTTATGTAGATTACTTAGTGCAATGTATATGCCATGTAAGTGTTGTTTTAATGATTTTAAAAAATAATGATGAGAAAAACATTCATGTTTAACACAGATGCAGTTTAGATTCTTTTTTCAGGTTGGGTGTGTGTATGTACTGGTACTTAGAACTTGATCTTAGGGCTTCAAGTTCTCACTTAACCTCAAGGGTGATACTCTACTACTAGAGCTGCCATACCTCCACTTCTGGCGTTTTGCTGTTCATTTAGAGATAATTGTCTCATGGAGTTTTCTATCTGGGATAGTGTTAAACCTGGATCCTCATATCTCCTCCCAAGTAGCTAGAATTACAGAACCACCAGCTCCTGGCTTTCAAATCTCTTGACCCTTGGTTCGTTCCACATCTGTGGGTGCAGAAGGCATGGATTTGAAGAGCTGACTATAGATCATAGCAGTACCACATACTTTCTCTAGAAAATTTGAAAAAGCACAAAAAGAAAAAAATTGAATACAATCACTGTCCAGAAAGCTACTCATAGCTGCATTGAACAGAGACAGAGTATTCACAGGAGGCTGTTGAAAGTCAAACTTAGAAGAGATATTTCCATTGTAGTAGAAGGTTTACCAGTATTGGAACAGGATATAGCTGTTTGGTTTGTTTGTTTGTTTGTTTGTTTTTTGTCAGTTATGGGGCCTGAACTCTAGGCCTGGGCACTATCCCTCAGCTCTTCAGCTCAAGGCTAGAACTCTACCACTTGAGCCACAACACCACTTCTGGCTTTTTCTGCTTGTGTGGTGCTGAGGAATCAAACCCAGGGCCTCATGCATCCAAGGCAAGCACTCTACCACTGAGCCACCTTCCCAGCCCCCGATAGCTGTGTCTTCAATGTTCTATTTGAACATATGCTCTGAGGAGCTAAACAGCTCACTTAATTGTTACCATGACATTTACAAAAGCTGCCACATCATATAAGGTGCACCCTGGACTTGAACACACTGCTTGTGTGTGACCTAAAACAACTTAGTATTGCAGGGTCATGAATTTATCCAAAGGATCAAGCAGGTGTGTGAATGTGTCTCCTCCCTTCTGAGTAGTTCAGAAGAGATGATTCATTTGCCAGGGTCTGTGTTAGACATGACATGTTAGTTTTTGAAATCTATTCCTTTGCTTCTGTTTCCTCAATGTGATTATAACTTCTCAATAGGTTTATATATATGTATATATACACTATATATATATATATATATATATATATATATATTATATATACATATAAAATGTTTCACCCTAGTTTTTATTCTGGGTTGGTACCATATAGAAATTCTTACCTATAGTCCAGCTACGGGAAGTTTCTTATCATTTGTATTACTTCTGAGCTTTCAGGCTCCATATGACCTCCTTGCAAGGTAGGACGGGGGAGGGGCATGTGAATACAGTCTCTTAGCCTAGGCCTCATCTTGGAACCCTTCCTGGACAATGGAGCGGGGGCCGCTGACAGTAATTGTGTCTCCTCAGGACTGTGACACTGAGATGCTTCCATGTGGCCCAAGGCAATGGGCCTGTGCCAGTGGAGACCAGTGCATACCGGACTTGTGGCACTGTGATGGACAGAGCGACTGCAGGGATGGCAGTGATGAGACTGTGTGTGAGTACAGGGCACCTCACAGAGGGACAGGGCAACGGGTCCCATGGGAATTGCGAGGACCTGTCATTCATTCCTGTCCCATGCTGGAGGGGACTTGATCATCCATGGGGAGGGATGTTGGGGGAGGAATTGATCATAAAACTTTAAGTAGAAGGTCATCCTCTGCAGGCCCCCCTCAGAAGTGCCAGGGTTCTGAGTTCCAGTGCGACGCCCATGCCTGCTTCAGCCTCCGCGTGTTGTGTGATGGGAAAGAAGACTGTGCCGATGGATCAGATGAAGGTGGAAGGTGCTCGTTGACAGAATGCAGACCAGGACTGTGTTCCCACACCTGCTACCAGTCCCCTGCTGGGCCCGTGAGTTGTTTCAAAGATAGTTTTCTGGTAGCCATACATTTGGTGTGGGGAAAGTGAATGACATACTGAAATTACAGCTTGTCCTCGCTACGGCAATACATGGCAGATCTGTCCTAACCCTTCACCAGGGTGGGCTTGAGCCTTTCTTGGCTCCTGGTGAATCCTGTTTAATTCCCGACTCATTGCAAGTGTCCTGGAACCCTGCTACTCAGCCTGTGGAAACTATCCTACTATAACCTGTGGGTTACACTTAGGGATACTTGGAGAAGTGTTGCGAAACTTCTGGAAAGCCAAGCATCTTTCTCATGTTGCAGATTGAGAAGTTGACTACCTACAGTTCATACAGTTGCTCTGTATGAATACTTGGAATCCAGTATCCCTTTAACAACTGTCTGTGCTCTGGCCAGCACTAATTGGCTGAACACAGTGAATTAGAATATCATGAGCAAGCACAAGAAAATGGTTCTGATCCCTGGTTATACTAGCATCTCTTGGCAGGTAGCCAGTTCCACGAAGTCCAGATCTATCTCCTCTCGTTGACTGTGCTGGGACTCTAGATATCCTGGGCTGAGCCTGGTCACCCTTACTAACTCAGAACCCATACTGGTGTATGGGATGCAGGCAGGTGAATAACAGAGTGATGGCTAGTGAAGTGACCACAAGAAAAGCTGACTGAGAAGAGTAGTGGTTGTCAGAGTAGAATACATCCCCATGTATGCTTCACAGCTCTTTTCATCACTGTCTTTGGGAAAAGTCAAGGTCTTCTCATGCCTTTCAGGTGTGTGCCTGTGAGCCAGGCTTTGAGCTGGACAGCAGTGGTCAAATCTGTCAGGATGTGGACGAGTGCAAGGAGTTGGGTAGTCCACCTTGCAGTCAGACCTGTATCAACACCAAGGGCTCATACCTCTGCACCTGTCACCCTGGTTACTCACTGGAGCCTGACAGCCACACTTGTAAAGCAACAGGTACATTGGCCACATGCTCTGAGTTCTTAAGGCCTCTGGCAATACCGGAAAATTCTTTCTTCCTTACGTTTTAATGTTCCTGATACTTGCTTGTTTTTAGAGAAAGCCTAGTATGTCCCCAGAGCCATCCTTCCACTGTGTCTCACATTTAATCAGAGTCTGAAACTAGTAATAAGGGGTTGCTATAATGAAACCATAACTCTGAGCTCTGCTTCCATGACTCAACCTTGGATTGTCTGGTCAGATATTTCTTTTCTACCCTTTTCTTTTCTACCCTCCTTCCCCTAAATATTGAGTTTAAAGTATTTTCAAAATGAGCTTTATTTTAATCCCTTTATTTTAAGTAACTTTAAACTATGGTTGTGATTCTAATCATTATATTACAAAGAACTACTCTGATTTCAGTTAGTTAGTATCTTAGTCCTTCCAGTGAGAAAATAAAGACTTTGTGTCCTCGTATTCCTTTGCCAGTGCTGGGTTTCACTGTTTGCTCCATGATTATGTTGAAGGCAATTCTTATTTGACAGGTACTGAACCAATCCTGCTTGTTGCAATTCAGTTTAACCTATTTCTGTATGGATTGAGAAGCTTGAAAGAAGATATTCTGGCAACTACTGACAAGAACCTGATGATTTTCTCTGTTGACTATGACTTAGTGGATCAGAAAGTTTTCTGGGCAGATCTGAATTCAGAAAGTATAAGGTGGATAAGTATGGACACAAAGACGAAAGGGACTGTGGCAAAAGGTATGCATTCCCTTTGTCAGCCTCTAATTTACCTTTGTTAAAAGCACATAACATAAAAAATAAAACCAGTGGCCAGTGACATTCTAAACATTGGCAAATTCTATCTCCCTTGAGTCTTTTTAGTTGACAAGAAACATAAAGATGCGTTATCATGGGGCTGGGAAGGTGGCTCAGTGGTAGAGTGCTTGCTTTGCATGTATGAGGCCCTGGGTTCGATTCCTCAGCACCACATAAGCAGAAAAAGCTGGAAATGGGGCTGACGCTCAAGTGGTAGAGTACTAGCCTTCAGCTGAAGATCTGAGGGACAGTACCCAGGCCAAGAGTTCAGGCCCCACGACAGACCAAAAGAAAAAGATGTGTTATCATCTTTCTGCCAACCTACCAGCCATTGGCAATAATTTCTAATGCTGTTCCACCTGTATAGTAGAACTTGAACACATTTGAAAGGGGGTTTCTAATCTGGAAATGCATACAGCTGTTGGAAAGTAAATTCATATGGCATGCAAGTCTAGAGTCTATGAGACCAAACACAGAAAAGCTATAAAGTATCAGCCAGGCAGAGTGGCTCATGCCTCACCATCCCAGCTGTTCATGAGTTAGAGATCAAGAAGATTTTGGTTTAAGGCTGGCCTTGACAAAGAAGTTAATGACACCCATAAGCTGGGGATGGCATTCCCAGCTGTGGGAATGGAGCCGTTGGAGAATCATGGCTCAGGCTGGTATGGGCAAGACCTCTAGATCTTATTTGGAAAAAATAGCTAAAGAACAAAGATCTAGAGGTGTGGCTAGAGTTGTAGAGTGCTTGGTTAGCAAGTACAAGGCTCAGGATTTAAATCCCAGAGTATGTATGTGTGCCCATGTTCACACACACACACACACACACACACACACACACACACACACACAACGTAAGCACAAATGTTGAATTTTTTTTAGGGATAAAATCAGATTGTATCGCAGTTGACTGGATTGGAAGGAATCTTTACTGGACTGATAGAAGAGCTGGTCAGATTTTGGCCATTCAGCTCTCTGCTGTTTGGAGTGGAAAATCTGAGTACACAATTGTTCTGGAAGACAATTTGACTCAACCCCAGTCTTTGGCTTTGTATCCCCTAAATGGGTGAGTCCAGGTGTCAAATTTTTCTGCTTTCTTATTGTGGTCAATGTCTTTAAGTTGGCTATTCTTCCTTAATTCTATTTTGCTTGTAGAAATTATCTTGATCTAGAATGAATGAATAGGAAACTTATCTGACTTTAATCTTATTGGGATGTGAGTCAACGGTAACATGGGAGCCTAAAAACCATCTGGGAAAAGTTGTTTATGCCATTAATATGAGAAGTTAGTGTGACACACCTGGTGGTCCATTGATACTTTCTTCAGCCTCAGCAAATTAATACACCTCAGTAGCTAGCATACTTACTACAGCTTTAAAATGAGAAGTGAGTAGAAAATGGAACTAAAGGGAATATTTAAGTTATGACAATACAGGTGGGAGTTCAACCTGGGTTATTCTTTCCAGAGTCTTTTCTCTCTGCAAAGGAATTTAAAGCTAACATACCATTCCCTCACAGAGACGGCCATATGTGTCTCACATGTATGAAAATGATACAGGAATTCCTAGGATCCAAAGATAGCCCACATTTGGTACCTTTTAAATACATTCAACTAGGAATTTAACAGCATGGCCCCTGGAAAACTAGTGGAAGTTTTTTTTTTTTTTTGTCGGTCATGGGGCTTGAACTCTGGGCCTGGGCGCTGTCCCTCAGCTCTTCAGCTCAAGGCGAGCGCTCTACCACTTGAGCTACAGCACCACTTCCGGTTTTCTAGTGGTTTATTGGAGATAGGAGTCTCACGGTCTTTTCTGCCCGGGCTGGCTTTGAACCGCGATTCTCAGATCTCAGCCTCCTGAGTAGCTAGGATTACAGGCGTGAGCCACCGGCGCCCGGCTAGTGGAAGTTTTTGATGTATGTAATGGCATATAGTCAAGAATAAAGTCTGAAGCCAGGCACTGGTGACTCATGCCTGTAAATCCTAGGTATGCAGGAGGCTGAGATCTGTGGATCAAGGCTCAAAGCCAGCCCAGGCAGCCAAGCATAAGAGATTATTATCTCTAATTAGCCTGCAAACAGCCAGAGTGGAGGTATGGCTTAAGTGGTAGAGTGCCAGCCTTGCTTGGAAAGCTAGGAGAGAGGGGCTGGGAAAGTGGCTCACTGGTAGAGTGCTTGCCTTGCATGCGTGAGGCCCTGGGTTCGATTCCTTAGCACCACATAAGCAAAAAGAAAAAAAGCCAGAAGTAGCGCTGTGGCTCAAGTGGTAGAGTGCTAGCCTTGAGCTAAAGAGCTGAGGGACAGCACTAGGCCCAGAGTTCAGGCCCCACGACCAGACCCCATAAAAAAAAAAAAGAAAGCTAGGAGAGGGTAAGAGGGGATGAATTTAAGCCCTAGTACCAGTGCCAAAAAAAAAAAAACAAAAATTGAATGAGGTTCTAGGCTCACATCTGCACATAGAGCTTGCTTACTTAAAGGGGAAAAAATGTAGTCAGGTTCCCTGGATATTTTCCAGTTGGGGACTAATGTATTCCAAGTATTTTTGTACAACTGCCATTACAGATTCTTTACTCTCACACAAGAATTAAACAATTACCATTAAGTTTCAAGAAAAAGTTCCTTTTGAATAGACTTAGGGTATTGATTAAAATGTGAGGGAAAATAATTCGGCATGGTGTTCTTTTTGGTGATGTGCTGTCTTCACACAGATTGATGTACTGGACCACAATTGGAGACAAACCCCGAATAGAGCAAGCTGGAATGGATGGTAGCAGCAGGAAAATACTCATTGATCAAGGTCTTGGCCGGCCAACAAGCATAGCTCTGGACCAGTTAAGCTGGAAGATATTCTGGTCTGACGACAAATTTCACTGTATTGGCTCTGTGAACCTAGATGGGACTGGCGTTAGTGTAAGTGTCCTGTTAGCCTTTGACTGGTTTAAAATGTCATGTGTCTTCTATAAAATCTATCCCAGCTCACCTTTGCCATTGCAGATGGTACAGCTGACACAGATTAGGAGCCCGTTTGCAGTGGCTGTGTTTGAAGATGAAGTCTTCTGGTCTGAGATGAAGGCAGGAACAGTACAGCGCATGGAGAAGATGACAGGCAAGGGCAGGGATGTCCTCATCAAGCGTTCTGAACAGCCCTATGGACTTAAGGTATACAGAATCCCTTACCTCTGCACAAGCTGCCTAAGCACCAACCTCAGTGATAGCCATTTATATGATTAAAAGGCAAAATTTGAGCTGAGGATGTGGCTCAGTGGTCCAGGGGTATGTGCTTAGCATGAAGTGACCCTGAGTTCAATTCCCAATACTGCAAAAAAAAAAAAAAATCACTTCCTGTTTTTAAGGAACTAGCTATGTTCTTGCAGATCATGCATGATGTGCTTCAGCCCAGATCTTCTAGCCCTTGTCTGGATACTGGCTGTTCTCACTTGTGCCTTCTGAGCCCTCGAGCCAAAGGGAGTTGCCACTGCCCAGTTGGCCTCTTGCTTACAGATGATGGAGTCAACTGTGTTTCACCCCAGGACTCAGCATTTGTATTTCTGGCATTGCCCACCATTGTCATGCAGGTACTTCCTGGAACATTCCTCGTACTGTTATGTCTGTGCTTGGTGTATGTTCTATTTCAGACTTCCAGTATTTGAATTTTCCACTGTCAGTTGCATATAGGAGAGGCTCTTTCTTTTAGAAAGTTCTACAGTGAAAAATGTAGCATTTCCTGTGAGCCAGGTACCATCATGACTGCAATAAAGTATCCTGAGCATGCTAAAAGGACTAGCAGGATCAAACATTTTTTTAAATAATTAAATAAAACTACCAATACTTTAAGTCTGGTGAGACATGCTCTCTCACCAGAACACAGTGAAGTTAGGGCTGCGGGGAGTGTTTACCTTTGCTTAGACGTACAAAGGCCTAGCTGAGGAAATACAGTAACTGCAAATACCAGCAGCTATGCCAGGTTTTAGGCTGGCATACATGAAAGTATGTTTGTGAGGAAACTTGTCTTAAATTAATAGGAGGATGAAAGGAACTAACAAGCAGGTTATCCTCATCTATTGCTATCTAGAAAACTTGTAAATTTTGTCATTTTAAAATGACAAAAGTTTTTGATGCAAGATTGACTTCAGTGTTAGTAGGGTATTAATGGAGTCTCATTTTAGAAAGAGGGCTTTGGTGGCTCACCTACAATCCCATTGCTAAGGAGCCGGAGGTAGGAGGATCACAAGTTTGATACCAGTCAGGGCTACACTTGAGACATAGATAGGTAGGTAGGTAGGTAGGTAGATAGATAGATAGATAGATAGATAGATAGATAGATAGATAGATAGATAGATAGATAGATAGATTGATTGATAGATGGATAGATATGTGTCTATACATATATCTAGACATATATGTCTACTCCTTATATGTATCTACATTTATCTAGCATCTACTTCTACCTATGTCAACAACATATATATATATATATATGTATATATATAATTATTATAACTGGGTTTTTTTTTGTTTTGTACTGAAATTCGAGCTCAGATCCTTACAACTACTGGGCAAGCAAGCACTCTACCACTGAATATATCTCAGACATTTTTTTGGTATGGATAGCCTCAGACCAGGATTCTCCCTTCTCCACAAATTTATACCACCATGCCCAGCTTAGTTTTTGGAGGATCTCACTAGGTTTTGTCCACACTGGTCCTGAGTATCCATCTTATCTCTTTCTCTCACACAGCTGGGGTAATAGGCATATATCACCATACACAGCTGAAGAGGGCTTTTTAACAGGGAGCAGTTCTTCAAAAAACACTTTGAGATTCCAGAAATTGACAGTGCTTAAAGCTTCAGGGAGAGGGCAACATAACTGCTCTGAAAAATCTGACTTTAAGATTCCCAACAGTAATACAATATCAAGATGTAGGACTAGACTAGACTCAACCAGAGCCACTTACCTATTTTTTCTTTATAGATTTATCTGAAAAATCTCAAAGCTTCATCCCAACAAGCAAGTCTACCGCAGCACAGAACACTTCCCTTTACCAGTGTGAACCAGCTTGCATCACTTGAGTATCTGGTCCAGGAAAAGGCTCTCTATCTGTCAGAGTTGAATAATGGTGACATCAGGCTGTTGAGGCTTAAAGAATCAGGGGCGCTTTCTTGGAGGAAAATCCTGTCTTCGGAAGGGATTGTGACTGATCTAGCTGTGGACTGGCTGAGTGGAAACATATACTGGGTTGACAGTGAGAATCCCCACATCAATGTGGCTTCCTCAAAAGGCCAGTATCCCATGGTGTTGCTGAGTGACAACCTTTACCACCCTACCTCTCTTGTGCTCCACCCACCTTCTGCAGTCATGTGCTTTGTGGACTTGGGTTCCCAGGAGGATGGGCGGCCTGGCTCCAGCATTGAATGCACTTCCATGGATGGCAGCAGAAGAAGAATAATATGGCGGAAATCCCAGGTGCCTGTAGGCCTGGCCTTTGTGGATTCAGGAACCCGGCTATACTGGGCTGATACTGGTGGGCAATTTATTTTTCTACATCCTGCACATAAGCTTGGGGGAATGGGAGCCAAAGAGCAATAGAGAAGTTCAGTTCACTGGTCTTCAGCCCGAACTATAGATAGCCTTCGTGTCTGTGTTTACATTTAAGAAATATGTGTGAACAAGTTTGTGTGTCAATCACTGTTAGAGGGAAAGGAAATTTTTGGTGTTTTGGTTTTTGGCTTTTTCCCCCCATTAAGTTCTCTCCTCAAGAAGATTGAAGCAGAGCTGGCTTTGGAGTATGCATGTGGTAACAAGACAAGACAGAGAGAGCTCCAGGGCATCATACAACTGACCAGGCTAAATGAAATGAATGGAACTTCTCTTCCTAGGGCAAGGATTCATAGAAAGCATTCAACAAGATGGCTCTGGACACAGAATAGAACGCAGAGGAATTCAAAGCCTCAGCCTCTTCACATGTGGCCAAGGCATGATATTCTGGACAACCATCGATGATAGTGAGTCTTCAGTGTATATCTGATTGAATTGCACTTACTCTGAGAAATCCAAAGAGTACCTGCTACTGCTAGCACCTATCCTGGAAAGTGTCTATACGAGTGTGTGTGTGAGTGTGTGTGTGTGTGTGTGTGTGTGTGTGTTTGTGTGTGTATCAAACTTTCCTAACCTAAAGAATAATGTATAACAGTGATTTAGTTTCTTGTGTGGGGCTTTAATTTATTCTGTTGTTCTTTTGTAGTATTTGGATTTGCACTCAGGACCTAATGCTTGCTGTGATATTTTATATTTTTATCTGGCTCTTATGTGAAGCTCTCTGCTCTTGAGGACACCATGGCTGTGTGACTATGTGACAATTAACTTACAAGGAGAAAAGCTTTCTTTTGGCTCGTTGCATAAGTTTCAATCCAGTCATTTAGCCCCACTGATGTTGACAAGATATGTCAGGGTGGGAGCATGTGGTGAAGAAAGCTGCTCATGGAAATCACGAAGGAAAAAGAGAGAAAAGAGAGGGGCCAACGTTCTTTCTTATGGGGCCAATATCTCTTTGTATGGCATACCCCTAGTGATCTTTATATGAGGCTCTGGCTCCTAAATATACCACCATCCTCTATTAGTGCCTTAGGCTGAGGTTGATCCTTCAGTACATGAGCCTTTTGATGTTACTTTCCCAAATCATAGCAATTGTATAGCATAGAGATGAGTTGGTCAGTCATCGAAACGAGGTGGTATATCTGCTCTGTCACTTAGTAGCTATAACACCTTGTCTATAAAATGAAGACAATACCTATCTTAGTTAAGTAAATGTATGTGAAAGTGCCAGATGAGTCATAGAGCATTCTAACATAGCATTGCTAATGCTTCCAAGGGATCGTCCTAAGTCACATGTTCTAGTATGTTATTATATTCACACTAGACGTCTGAGTATACATTTCTGACTAGTGTCTAGACTTTATAGAAGTAGAATGTGTGGCTTAAATAAATCTATTCCTTTGCATCTTCAAAACCCAGTTCACTGGGCACATTAGAATAGCAAAAAAAAACAAAGTTTTTAGATCTTATCTCAGAAATGCTCATTTTTATTGGGTATGTGGTAAGACCTTTCTTTCCCAGCTACTTCACATCCCCTGGGAGTTACTGTTACAGATAAACCATTTCCAGAAATTGTCTTCTAATGAACTTAAAGACCATTGGTCCTTAATCTCATGGGCTGAACTTAAGTGCCACATATCCTCAAGCTGGGGCTGGAGGGGGGATATAAGTACTATAACATAAAATTTAGAAAAATATATGTCTCTTCTATAAAAACCTTGTTACTCAACTGGAGTTGAGAAAAGATGAGCTAACGTATTTATCTTGAGCAAAGCTCTTTGCCTAAGAAGTTGACTTAAAATACAAATTAATTTTGGTTAATGATTATGTACTGGCTTTTGTTTTAGCCCAGATCACTAAAGTTTGGTACAGCAAAGCAGAAGGGTTAGAAAACCGATGGTTCCAAGTGGAACAGAAGATTGTGGACTTAAAAGTTTATAGCAAATTTAGTCAAGAGGGTAAGTAAGCTTGCAATGGTTATAGCAACACTAAAGTCTGCCAATTACCAATGGAGGGGATATTCTACTATGCATTATTTCCTTGGAATATTTTTGAGCTTCTCATTACATTAAAGTGCAATTTCTATAGATCTGCACAATCCTCTTGTCTTTATGTCATTATATACAGACTGGTTGAGGTTTATCATTAGCCCTATTACTAATCCATCAGACAAAATAGTAAGTCCATCAGGAATTGTTGATAGATACGGTGTGTTAGTCAGCTTCCTATCGCTGTAACAAATGCCCAAGATACTTGACTTATAAAGGGAAAGGATTGATTTGGACTCACAGTTTTAGAAATTTTAGCCCATGGCTGATTGATCTCAGTGCTTTGATCTCATTGGGCCTGTGGTAAGGCAGCACATCACAGCAGGAACATGTGCTAAAACAGAACTGCTCACCTCATGGCTGGAAAGCATAAGAGAAAAAGAGTGGGGTCCCACACTCCCCTTTAGGGGCATTTCCCCAATGATCTAAAGGTCTCCCAGTAGGCCACCTCTCTCAAACTTTTCTGCCACCTTATGGGAGTGTCAAACTAGGACCATGCTTTTGTAAAATGGACATATGGGGGGAATTTGTGATCTAAGCTATAATACATGAGTTCAATATTGTGTTATTATTGTAGACTGAATTACAACACTAATAGCATAATTGGAATAATAGCTTGTTCTAAAGTGGTGCTAGTCTTCATTCTACCCAACATCATTTGTATCTACTTTGGTGTTAACTGATCCTTGGAATATCAACTTGGGGATACTTAGATGTTTTTCATGGACACATTTGGAATATCTAATTTAATGCTTGGGTCAGGTAATAATGGGCTTAATAAAATAGCAGTAGACAAAAATCTGTTCTTTATTGAGATTTAATATCGGCAACAGGAGCTCAATTAATTAACTATACACACCTCCTTGCATGATGAGCACCTTAGTCGTAAGACTAAGATACTGTTCAATTGCATTGTTTCTGAAAGTCAGACTTCAGGAAATGGCATTAGTCTTGTTTAGACTCTTGGTCTTGGCTTGGTGGGGAGAATGTATTTAGCACATTTCAGTGTGATAAACTGTCCTTCAAGCGGTCTGCTGCTTAGTTCTCTAGCCAGTAGTGTCCTTGTTAACTTCATGTGGGTTTTAACTCTAACGCATACATATTTATTTGATAGTGCCTGGACAGCTCACAAGGTAAAGACCTCTCTAGAAGTTCAAGAATGAGACACAAGTCTTGAATAATAATGCTAAATTATAAATGGTTGACTCAACCATATTGCCAACAAGATAATAAACATTACAACCTTCATATTTTCATCTAAAACGTGTTTTATTTTCAAGGCCTTTCCAGTTCTGATAGTAGATAGCTTTGTATGAAGAGGATTTGCATTATAATCTTGAATGAGTGAGAGATTCTCTCATTTTTTTCTTGAACCAGTTCCTTGTCTAAAGAACCACTATCTACTCAGGGCCGTAGAAGAGCTATCAGATTTGGAAAAGCATCTGGGTCATATAGCCCTAATAATATATTTGCAAAACGTTTTCAGAAGACTCTCCTAAAACCTAATCTAATCTAATATGTTTTGGGGTGTGGATGGGGAATCCACAGGTAACAACAGCTGCTCAAAAGACAATGGAGGATGTAGCCATATCTGTCTGCCAAATCCTGAGGGACAGACTTGCAAGTGTCCTAATGGGTACTACTTAGCTAATGCAAACAAATGTGCCGAAGCTGTCCAATGCTCTGTACCATCCCAGTCCTGTAAGGATGGTCAGAAATGCATTTTCATGGAGCAAGTTTGTGATGGTCATGCCGACTGTCTGGATGGATCTGATGAAGTAAACTGTAAGTAACCCCAGCTGCGACCACTATGCATGAGTATGCATGGCTTTTAGGAATATCCAACTCTAACATTCTTTATTGTTGTTGTTATTGGTCGTGGGGCTTGAAGTCTAACATTCTTTAAGTAAAATTTTAACCCTTAAATCATTGTCTTGCTATCATAGATATATGAAACCAAATAATACAAAATTTGTAATGATGGAAAAATGGATATAAATTAAGGTGGGTATCTCTTACGGAATTTAATATTCCTTCTTGGACTGTAGGACAGGCAGTATGATTGGGAGCTCCAAGCAAATAGGCAGTGTGTATGTTCTCTGAAATAGTTTTTGTTTATCGTAGATTAGATTTGGTCAACTTAAATTGAATAACAGTCACCAAACCTAAAGGAAGGAGGTTACATAAACCATTTGACCTGCCTTGCTGGTTCCTTCTTTTAAAGAGGAAGCAGCCTCCTTTCTTCCTTTTTCTCTTCCTTCCTTCCTTCCTTCCTTCCTTCCTTCCTTCTCCTTCTTCTTTTCTTATTTATATTATCTTTAAGTAGTTGTACAAAAGAATTTCATGTGTCAGGTTATCATAATCAGCGTCACTCCTTTCATTGTTCTTCCCCATCTCTCCCAACCCCACCCATCTCCTCAAGTTACCTAGTTCTACTTTTACATATGTACATTGAGTATTATGACTAAACTTGTCCACCCAACCTCTCTCCATTTGTCCTTCACTTGGCCTCTCCGCCCTGTGTCCCCTGACAAACCATGTCTCTGCTTCCTGGTATTCATTGTGTTAAACTATGTTAGTTGTTTAAAGGAGTTATACCATTGGAATTCACCTCCTGCATATCCCATACTTTAATCAATTTGTTTATATATATATATGGATATGGACTTGTATATGCTTTCATATATGTCTGTAATTTAGATCTAGCTTCCACATATGAGAGAAAACATGCTTCCTTTGGCCCTTTAAACCTGATTTACTTCACTTAACATAATTTTCCCAGGTCCATCCAGTTACCAGAAAATGACGTAATATTTTTTCCTTGCTGGATGAATACAATTCCTTTGCATATCTAGTTGCATTTTCTTAATCCACTCATCCATTGTAGGGCCTCTGAGCTGGATAGAGTAATTTCTTTTCTTTTTTTTTTTTTTTTTGCCAGTACTGGGGCTTGAACTCAGGGCTTGGGCACTATCCCTGAGCTTCTTTTGCTCAACTCTACCACTTGAGCCATATCACCCTTCCAGCTTTATCTCTTTATGCAGTACTGAGGAATCAAACCCAGGGCTTCATGCATGCTAGGCAAGCACTCTACCACTAAGCCACCTTCTCAGTCCCAGAAACAGAATTTTATATCTGAAGTGTCTTACAGGGATTATTAAGGAACACAGACTATACATGAAGCTGTTATGCTAGTACTCAATATACTTAATACTAGCTTTAAATGGTTATCATAAAAATAATATGACAAATAATATCCTCATGGAAAGGGGTTGTTAGTTATCTTTAATCCCCATAATATCTGACTCTTCTATAATATTCACCCTCTGATTCTATAGCTACTCCTCCAGTGCTATCCAAGCCCACATGATTGAACTGAAGAGACTACAGGCAGGCTACTGAGACTGGTCATAGCCAGCAAAAGATTTGGAAAAGGAATCTTACAATGATGAGTCACTCTTTCTCAATTCAAATTCACTTCCTCCTAAAATCTAATAGCTGGAAAACCAAACAATTATTACTCATAGTAACCTTAACTTAAATAGGAAAGAAAATGGATTTTGATTCCCAGAGATAATTTTGTAATCTAGCAGCAGTGGAGGTGGTTGGTTGGTTGGTGGAACCCTATCTTGCAAAGATTCCAGGGAAAAAAGGAGTAGGAGGAAATCAAGGAGTGAGAAATATGTTACTCCCATTCCCTGGCTTTTAAGCCAAACCTAGAATCGAATATATCTTCACTTGTGGTCCCATTCCTGGTAGCCTAGGCCAGAATTGGCTCTGATCCTTAATCATTAGGTCACATTGACTTTGTGATGGGGGGGAGGTGGTCTCTTGGGTGTGTGAAGTTGGGCTGTCCTTGGAATACACCCTACCATCAAGGACTTTATACCACCTACAACAGAAAAATCTGTTAGGATGTTAGCTTAAAACAAAGGAAAGAAGCAATTTTATTGCTAATACTGTGTCTTTCTACACAGGAGTTTTTAGTTCAGTGTTCTTGTGAGAGATAATACTCATGCCAACAATAATGAAGAATATTGTGAAATACCTGAAAAACAAACTTAATTTTTGGATTTGTCTTTGGCAGGAAGCATTCTGTTTCACCTCTCTGCTTATATGTGTCCTTTCTATCATTTCCAACAAATCTGATTCCATATTGTAGACCTTGCTAGACTTCCAGCTCACTCAGACTCAGAACACTGAAATAATTACAGATAAATCTTTTTAGGCCAGGTATTTACTACTTTGATTTACCTTATAGATTACATTGGGATTCATCTTGATGATATCACTTAATTTCTTATATAAAGAACTTAATTTGTGACTTATAGAGACTTTATAATACATGCCTTGGTTAAAACAGTGTATACTTTCATTTTGAAATAGATTGGATGATCAGTAAAATACAGTGGTCCTGAAACCTATTTACTTGCCCTTAAAGTATACAGTAATATGTGTGTATAAACTTCTAATGTTCTTCTTGTTTGACGACAAGTAATTTCATAAATTCAAATCCCTTGGTTAATGTAATTAAAAGTCTTACTCTTCTGAAGTAGTTTTTAACTGATGCCAGTATACCTATTGTATATTTAGGTACAACCTATTCACCATCAATACCTAAAAGGCCAGAAGCCGGGAAAAAGTTGTCTCCAAAAGGTCTCCAACAGTTGCCTTATACCAAATTTACCACATCTGAATATCCAGGCCAAGAAGAAATGAGATACCCTGTGAGGAAAACACTAACCACACTGATGTCTGCTAGAGAGACAAAGAACCCAGAAATGAAGGAAAAGGGGGAAGATGCCCATCCCAAGAACACACAGAGGGCAACGCACGTGCCCTGTAGCAGCAGCTTCTGTAATGGAAGGGGAATATGCACAGTGGAAGGAAAGCTGAGAAGATGTAGCTGTCCGGTGGAATTTGGTGGACAAATGTGTGAAGAGACAGCACAGGGACTCGTCTCTGGCTACACAGTTCTCACTGTAGCCGTTGCCATACTGACTGTTCTAGTGGCCCTGGGAGCACTGGTGTACTGCAGAAGAAAACATAAACTGAAAAGGTGTGTATCTGTTCATGCCTTCATGGGAGAGTTATATTCCAAAGAAGGCTTATATAAAATAAGATTAATGGGATTGAAGGTATAAAGTCACTATAAACATTTGAATCATGAGGAAGTATTTAGGTGATGAATCAGTCTCACTGGTTAAATGACCTAGAAAATAGGAATTGAGACTCTCTTCAAGTGAGACACCCCCCCCCCAGACCAACAATATTGCGTGTGATGTGAGGCATTTGTGCAGAGGTGAAGTCTCAGGAATGAAATGCAGAGCTCCCCTTCAGTAAGAGAGCAAGTTCAGGGCCAGGAATGGGAGGAAATATTTGTTAGTATGAGTATTTGCTAGCTAGGGGAGCCATAATACAGATCCAGAGATGGGACATCATTAACACATAATGTATCTTCTCAGAGAAGGCTAGATGTTTAAGATCAAGGTATCAGCAGGATTCCTATCTTTTGTAGGTTCTCTCCTTGCTTTGCAGATGGCCAGTTTCTCTTTTGTTTTCACATATCACTGTGCTCAAATCTCCTCCTCCTCTTCCTATCTTCTTCCTCTGCTTCTTCCTCCTCTTCTCTTCCTTCTTGGTGCCAGTACTGGGGCTTAGAATTCAAGGCTTTGCATTCTTATTTTGCTTTTTCACTGGAGGCTGGTGCTATACCCCTTGAGTTATAACTCCAGTTCCAGATTTTGCCTGGTTAATTGAAGATAAGAGTCTTGAGAATTTGCCTGCCCAGACTGGCTTTAAACTTTGATGCTCAGATCTGTTTCCTAAGTAGCTAGCATTACTGGCACGTAGCTTACCACAATGTATCAGAGACCCTGTAGTACAGTCTAACTTATATGGATTTAGGGTATCTCAATATATTTCTCTACTGCCATGGCTTCACAGACTGAAAGATAGGCCAGGAGAATTGGCATATCTTTTCCTAAGTCAAGCTAGTTAGTATCTAATTGGTCAGCCCTCGGGCTCTGATCACATCCCTTCACACCTCATGTTCTCCTGCTAAATTCCCTGCTTCCTTAACTCAGTTGGGTCCAGCTACCACTTACTTGTCCTTGGACTCGGTTATTTACATTTCCTCCATTGAGAAAGGAGACCATTTCTGAAGTTAAGTGATTGCCTAGTAACACATAGCAATCTGCTCCAGTATTGCCCATTCCCAATTATTTGCTCTGATGGGAGATTATTAAAGTAGGGTACAGTTTCTATAACATTAACCTTTGATAAGAGGTAAATTGACCTTTTGTAATGATACCCCAATCTCAGCTTCTGCCTCAAATAGCTACTTCTGACTTTCTTTGATTTTAGGACATCAGCAAGAAATTTGAACCGTGATGAGGAAAATAAGCAAGAAGAAGAAAATTTAATGAATAGTGAGATTTTCGTGAATGAAGCCTATGATGAACAGGTATGTTGAGGAAGTTGGGTAAGTCTCTTTGAGGAAAATGAATTCTTGGATGCAGTTAAACAGTAACTCTTCTAAAACTGTCCAGCTTTCAGAAAGTAGTTAATGTTTTCATTTTAACCTTGACTGTTTCTATTATGTGTATTAACCTACTGTGAGGCAACTCTTTCTTCAGGGTCTGGCTTGAATAACGGTTGAATAGCTGAAACATGCATGGAACAGATTTATATACTATAAGCAAGAATCTTGACTTTTTGTCCATTTCTAAGGTCTCCATCCTATGGTAGAGTAGGGTAGGCTCTTTTACCCTAAGATATTAGTCCTATTGTCATCTATACAATTGTGTGTGTGTGTGTGTGTGTGTGTGTGTGTGCATGTGTGCATGAGTACTGGGGCTCGAACTCAGGGCCTCAAGCTTTTTCTACTTACAGCTAGTGCTCTATCACTTAAGCCTCAGCTCTACTTCCAGTTTTTTTTTACTGGTCAAATTAAATGTAAGGGTCTCTCAGATTTGTTTGCCCAAGCTGGCTTCAAACCTCAATTCTCAGCTAGAATCATAGATGTGAACCATCTCTATACTTTTCTACATCACATATAGAGATGTGAACTATCTCTATACTTTTGTTTTGTTTTAAAATAATGTATATTCTCTAACTTCAACTCTCCTTTCCACAGGACTTGCTAACTCCTTTGCAAACTGACTGATCTTATGCAAAAAAGAATTGAACCCGCCTCCAATTAAATAAAAATAAAACCTGCTTATGCATTTTATCGTGTGCTGTTTTAAATTCTGTAACAGTTTGTGATACATGGTAATTACTTGTTTAACTAATCTTTAAATTGGAAAAATTTGTCTGGGTTTGTTAATGAGTTTCAGAAAACTGAATATTCATAGGTATGATTAGAACTGTCCCCACGTAGTGTAAGTTGGAAGTCAGTCATAGGGTTTTCTAACATAAGGTATCTACCCCAATACTAATTAGAAGCTCTAGAAGATTTGAATGGCGACTCTGGAGCTCACTTTGAGCTAGTTAAACTGCAGAATCTATTTTCCTAATTTTACCAGATGTAGTGGTCACTTTGTCTTTAGGATACGTTTCTGCAAAGTACCAAGTATTCATGTGTTATTTCCCTATTTCTTCCTCTCTCCTATATACTTTACTAAGTTTGTACACATTGGCACTTAGAATTTATGAAAAGTCTTTCTCTTATGATGTTATTCAATCCTGAACTTAAAAGAGCAAGCAGATATACTTTATGGTTATGGAAACATGGTTTGTGTAAGTCTTATTTATAATGAAGTTGGTGATGCTACAGTTAGCAGCATGGAGTAGATGTACGCCAGGATTTATCTCAGGTAGCTCTCCCTGCTAGGGACCACCCATTGCTTGGCCTGCTAATGCCTCTGCTTGTCTTCCCAGGTTTCTACTGTGCTTACACCCAAGTAAAGAATAAAGAGCATTAAATTTATGATAATAGATAAGGTCACAAAAAAAAAGTCTGGTCTTAAACTTGGTTATAGCAACCTAGGCAAATCCCTTGGTATTGAACCTTTATCCTCAGTGCCAGAAATGAGATTATAAAAGTTTATATCATCAGGCCCATTGGATGTGGAAAGAAAATACATGTGCACGGCTCCACACAGCACCTGAATCTAATAGCATAAGTTTAAATAGTAATAAATCAACTTTGCTTGGAAGCTTTTTCTTGCTTGGATCTTTTCTTTTGTATTCAATGTCTTTCCGAATGAGTTTGTGTAGGCCAGGAAGTCCAGTGAAAAGTCCTGGACCTATGACTACAGGTACTATATAAAATAAACCATCGTGTGTGCGTGCTGATCCTGGGACTTGAACTCAGGGCCTGGGCACTGTCCTTGAGCTCTTATGCTCAAGGCTATTGCTCTACCACTTGAGCCACAGCTCTACTTCCAACTTTTTGGTGGTTAACTGGAGAAGAGATTCTCATGGACCTCCCTGCCCAGGCTGGCTTTCAGCCATGATCCTCAGATCTCAGCCCCCTGAGTAGCTGGGGTTACAGGGGTGAGCCTGTTTGCAAAATGTTATCTGCTGTGAACAGTGGAGACCTATGCAATGGGAGAGGGAGGTGACTTTGGGAGCACCTGGCAGCCCCTCCCACAGCTTCCAGGGTGGACACACCACACCCATCCTTAATGAGGCCTGCAGCCTAGGAGAGCCAGCTTGGGGAACAGGCAGAGCAGCTGGGGAGAGAGCTTCCTGCCAGACTTCCCCAGGCCCTTTGGATCTCTAGGCAAACTTGAGTAATGGTAGAAAGAGTTGACAGATTAAATGGGGACACACAGTTCCAGTGTTGATGGGGAGAGTGGAAGTGGGTGTGATAGAGCATCCCGGATGGAAGAGCCTGAGGCGAGGTGGCAGAACTACTCACGTAGGTGGGCTCCCTGCTGTGCGCAAGCCGGGCTGGCCAGTATCCCTTTAGGACAGATTCCCACCCACACAGGAGGCCCCACCCTGAGACTCTGCCTCCTCCAGCCTCTTGTCTCAAGCCTACTCTCAGTATGTTCAGCAGAGAATGACCCTTACACCCACCCAGGCTTCCACCTCCTTCATGCTGTCCTTTATAGCAAAAAGAAGTGTTTTTTAAAAGGAACATTTCTTTAGATAGGGCAAAAAATACTCAGTTTTAAAACTCAGTAAGAAAGTCTTAATCCTCAGAGTAAAGGTGTTTCACACATAAGCCAATGGGGAATAGTTGTGGGTGGGGGTGGGTAAGACACACACAAAATACTGGCTTTGTGTTTACCAGAGACTTCTCTAGAAACACTTGGTAATATGATTTGAGGAAGAGACAGAACTAGCTAGAAGCTCAGGATCTTATATTGCCTGCTGTGTTCTGATTTCTCAACCCCCTAATTGCTGTCTTTCAAAGTACTAGCTGAAATATCCCGGATGCCCCTTCTGCCTTCAATCTCTTTTCCACATAGCAAACCCTCAAAAACATCTGGGTGACAGAGGGCGCAAAGGCAACATTCACAGTCATCACCAGATGGGACTATAAATGCATCAGAGCACACTTAATGCTGGTCAACCTTAAATGGGGTCCATGACCATCAGCACTGGCCCCTGCTCGCAGCCACATAGGAAATCAATTTTAGGGCTCCAGATCCAGGGAGGCAGAATCCACAGAAACAGACACAAAGTGCTGAGATCTAAGGACCTTGGTTCAAAGCCACCAGTGCAAGAAAGTCCATGAGACTCTCCAGTTAAGCAGCAAAAAGCCAGAAATGGAGTTCTGTCTTAAGTAGTAGAGCTCTAGCCATGAGAGAAAGTGTTAGTGGACAGGGCGCAAGCCCTGAGCTGAAGCCCTAGTACCAACTCCCTCTCTCTCTCTCTCTCTCTCTCTCTCTCTCTCTCTCTCTCTCTCTCTCTCTCTGTCTCTCTCTCTCTCACACACACACACACACACAGAGTCACAAAGTAATCTGCCTGCATATTAGAGTTGTGTCTCAAAAAGCAAATAGCACTACAACATAGCAGGGGACATGAATAGGTGTTACACCATCCATTGTACAAGCAGCTTGTGCTGTTTAATGAGTTCTATCACAGTTTTATATTACTGGGACCTATTGGACTGACCATTTATACTTCTGAAGGATAGGTTTGGGAGGTGAGATTCAGCTCAGTTAAAGCACCTTGAAGTCAATAGCTTCGAATGAAAACCAGCCCTATGAAGACTTGTCTCTCATGGAACATAGAGCTGCCTACCTGTGACTTTGAGCCCCAGGGCAAGAAGTGGAAAAGATTTCTGCTCTCCCCTCAAGTGAAAACTGGTGCTCCTAGTTTTTCTTTTTTGACAATAGACTTGGCTGGCACAGAAAACAAAGCAACCAGGGATTGTGGTGGGGCCCCTTGGCTCCTTTTAGTAATCTTATGTGAAGAAGTGCAAAGATGTGAGTTCTAGATTTCAGAATGGTGCCCAGGCAGCCAGGAAACTGCTGGTAATGAATGCTGAAACTCCCCAAGGTAGTACTGGAGACAAATAAGCTTTATGAGCATACTGCAAATGATGTTTTAAGACTTTTATTTATAAATAGCATATATATATGAACGCTAACCAAATGTGACTAACAGGTTCTATTTTGTAGAAAATATTCAATCTACTGTTTGCTGTGAGGTATCTATAGAATGGAACAATAATATAGTGTTAATGTCTCCATTCTTTTGGCTTCTTGAAAAGAAACTGGAACCACCTCAATTTCTCACCAAAATAAGTGATTAAAAAAAAACACACAAGTTAAATCTTTTAGAGTTTGTCCTCCTACCTCATACTATTATGTATGCAGAAAGACATGTAAATCGGAGTCAACCAAGTTATTTCATTTTATAGAAGCCACTACCCCTGCTAAGCTTTGAATGGCCCTAAGTTTAAGAGCCTCAAACCCACGCAGTTACAGATTGCCTCTGGAGAGTTTTAAAGTTATAACACTTTTATGAGTTATAAAGTAGGGAAAAAAACAACAATAACCGTAAAATCCATTAGTATTTTAGAATACTGTAGTTTCTAAGTGTTGTGTGTGCATATATGCTAGTCCTGGAACTTGAATGTGTCCAGGGAGCTCTCTTTAGCTTTTTTTTACTCAAGGCTAACACCCTACCACTTGCTCCACAGCTCCATTCTAGTCTTTTGGGTGGTGGATTTCACAGACTTCCTGCCAGGGTTGGCTTAGAACCATGATCCTCAGAACTCACAGCCTCTTGAGTAGCTAAGATTACAGTCCTGAGACACCAGCCACCCGTTGAATTTTTGTTTTGCTTTGTTGTTGTTGTTGTTTTGAGCCTTGTTGACATTGAACCTGGTCCACCTGATTCAAAACGCCACCCGTTCCAGATCTCCTTCAACTTGTACCTGTGAGAAGCCTGTCATCCCACAAGAAGACCTGATCCCTCTGGACAGGAAAAGAAAACTGTATAAACCAAAGCTGAAAGAAACTTGAAATAAACGTCCCAAGAGTCTCGCAGAGCTACTGGGCAAGGGAGATCGCCCTCCAGACGCAGAGCTCCATCTCCAAGCCGGGAGAGCTGCAAACACAGGACACAGTTGAAGGCTGGGCCGAGTGGAAACCCGTCCTTCTTCACCCTTGGCCCCGGGATGGAGCCCGGAGCCGGGGGGAGGCCCGGGCGACGTCTACAGGTCTGAGTCGCAGGGGAGCGAGCTGTGGCAGGGCCGCGTGCTGCGGGAGGAGGCGCCCTGCGAGGCGGCCGCCTGGGGCTCCCGCTCCCCGTCCAGCACGTCCACGGGGTTGGTGTAGGACCTGGGCGCGGGGCGCGGCATGGGAAAGCCCACCTTGAGTTTCCCGGGGGCGGCGGGCTCGGCGGCGGGCGGCGGGCGGTGCTGGCCCCCGCTGTAGTACTTGATGGCGGGTGGGAGCGCGGGCTCGGGCCAGTCCACGTAGACGGTGCTGATGCTGCTGCGGCGCGGGCCGGCGGGGGGCGCCTTGCGGCGGCAGCGCTCCTCGCACCAGGGCGCCCAGCTGAGCGCCAGCGAGAAGCCGCCCAGCAGCAGCAGGCAGCTGCCCAGGTAGCCCAGCACCAGGCTGTAACTCACCTGCACGGTGACCGGGCTGGCGGGGGCGGGCAGCACCGTGCGATCCCCCAAGAAGTGCGTGTACCACGAGACCGGGATGAGGCCGAAGAGGCCCGCGATGAAAAGCACCAGGCCCGACAGGCCGGCCAGCGCGAAGTGGGGCTCGTCTTGCCAGCAGCGCACGCCCAGCGACGCCAGCAGCAGCCCCAGCGCGGTGACGGCCAGCGAGGTGGCCATCAGCGCCCGCGCCGCGAGCACTGGCTGCGCCTCGAAGTAGCCCCACTCGTCGGGCTGGCCGCACTGGCGCTCGCGGCTGGTCTGCTCGCGGCACATGTCCCACAGGCCCTGGAACAGCACCACGTCCACGGGCTGGTCCAGGAACCCCTTCACCAGCCGCCAGCCCGGGGCCAGCGTGCTGATCAGGTTGAGCAGCAGCCCGCAGGGCGACAGCACCATGCCCAGCGTCATGACCACCGGCGTCCGCATCCTGGCTCCGCGCACCTGCCGCCGTCTCCAAGCTCCCCGAGGGCAGCGCCGGGCCGCGAGGCGGGCTGGCGGGGCTGCGCTCTGCGGTCTCCGGGCGGGCTGATCGGTGTCTCCGGCCCGGGGCCGTCCCCGCTCCGCCGCTCGCCCTTAGTCCCCTCCTCGCGCCCCGGCCGCTCCGCCCTCCCGCCGGGACACCGCGGTCCCTAATCGAAACCAGCTCGGAGGTAGGGCCGACCGAAACCGCGCGCCCGGGGGCGGCCCCTGGCGGCCAAGCCCAGCTCGGAGGGAGGGGCGCGCCACCGGGCGACCCGACCCCCCGGGCCCGGCGCGAGCGGGGACTCCGACACCCCACCCCGCAGTCAGGCCCTCCGCTCCGCCCGGCCCCGGTGGCTCGGAGACCGAGCAAAGGTCTAAAGGTCTCCCCGCCCGGATTCCCCGAAGCCGCCCTCGGCCGCCCAGCTGGCCGTGGGCGGGGAAGGCAAAGGGGCGGCGCCGCTCCGGTCACCTTACCTGCCCCCCCACCCCGGACACCTGTTGGGTGGCGGCGCGGCGTCCCCGCTACCCAGCGATCTCTCCGGGGAAAGTTTCTCCAGGCGTCTCTGCCCCGCGGACGGGGCTTGTCCGCTCCCGGCCGGCTTCAGAGCCGGGGGGGTGAGGGTGGGGAACCCGAGGCCCGGGATGCGCTGGGCAGATGGGCGCCAAAGGCCGCATCGGAGGAGAAGTGGGTCCCCAAAAGTAGCTGCGCTCGTGTTGCTTGCTAAAACTCGTTTAAAGGCTCCAGCTCCGGATTCAGTTTAAGTGAAAGCAATCTAGGGGAGTGCATTTCTGGATGGACGGATTATACGCGGGTTTTCTATTTCCAGGGTGTGTGTGTGTGTGTGTGTGTGTGTGTGTGTGTGTGTGCCCGCGCGGGAGGGGGGGGTGGCGGGGAGAGCTACTTAGGCACTGATCTGTAAATTCAGTTTACTGTTGTATCCTACATAGGAGTCGTTTGCGTTCTCCATTGAACTGCTTGTGACGTCATGCTGTTTTTTCCCCCTCGTTAAACTATTTGGAATATGTTTATTTTATATTTTATACTTAAGTGGCAATGATTTTTACTCCTTTAAAATTCACACGCCCGGCGCCCATGGCTCACGTCCATAAAACCTAGCTATTCAGGAGCTCCAAGATAGTCCTGACCGGAAAGACCAAGAGATTCTAATCAACAATTAATCACTGAAACGCTGGAAGTGGAACTGTGGCCCAAGTGAGAAAGCACAGGCCTTGAGCACAAGAGCCCAGATCCAGAGTTCAGGCCCAGGACTAGCAATATGATATACACTATATATTGATTTTTCAACTATGCCCTTGAATGTTGGCTCTATAATTGGATGAAACTGCACCCAGGTGCGACTGGGCCTGGCTGGTTCGTTGAGACACTCCTGTTTTTTGTCAGGGTTGACCCAGAACTTCTTCTATCCTCTCAATCTCTGCCTCTCAGAGATTTCAGTAAACGCTCCACCACGCCTGACTCTATTTGCCTTATGTCTTATAACAGAAATGTATTATCTATATAATTTGTTAGAATTAAAGCCGTTTGTAAGAATCGATTGGTGTGTCATAATTTTTCGTATTCTAAAGTGTAAAATTCCAGAGATGGGAATTATTTTCTTTTTTAAAATGTTTTAAGTTTTTTTTTAATGTGCTAAAATACATATTATAACCTATGTTGGTATAACCATGTGTAATGGTACAGTTAAATGGCATTAAGTGTATATCCATGTTGTGCAAGCTTCATCCACATCCATCCCCAGAACTTTTGAATCCTCTGACTGAAACTCTGACTCGAATAAATAGCAACTTCCCAGTCCTCTCTATCTCCCAACAACCACTGTTCTACTTTATCTCTGTGATTTAACTATTATAGGTACTTTGTACAAATGGAATCACAGTAGTTGTGGCTTAGTCGTTGAGCAAAATGTCCTCAAGGGTTCAACTACAGTGTAACACGTGTCAGAATTTCCTTATTTTTTCAAGGATGAGTAATATTTCATAGTATGCATTCCACCTGTGTTTACCCATCATCTGTCAATGGACATGTGTAGCTTCCACCTTTTAGCTATCATCATCCATGCTATTAGGAGAATGAGAGTACTAATATATTTTTGCATCTTGGTTTTACTTGTTTATGGTATATGCCCAGAAATGGAGTTGCTGTGTTGTAGGGTAATTTAATTTTTTTAAGGAACCACCATACTGTTACATAGAAGTGGTGTCATTTTAGGTTCCCATGAATCTACATACACAAGTGTGTTAATTTTCCTGATTACCTTTGGTTTAAATGGATCTTCGGAGAGAATTCTATATCTTTTTTTCTTCTTTTTATTACTGTTCCAAAAAATACTTAAAAAAAATGGTACCAGGGTTTGAATTCAGATCCTTGAGTTTGTTAAGTAGATGTTCTTACCGCTTCAGCCATGTCCCCTGCCCTTCAAATGTGTTTTGGCCTTTATTTCATTGTGAAAGATGGTGGTAAATGTGATGCTATCTTCCTGTGGATTTGCACAGATATATTTTTTTTGGGGGGGGTCCGATCGTGGGGCCTGAACTCTGGGCCTGGGTGCTGTCCCTCAGGTCAAGGCTAGGGCCTCATGCATGCAGGCAAGCGCTCTACCACTGAGCCACCTTCCCAGCCCTTGCACAGATATTTGTATAAAGAATGGAGAAAGGAGAGACATATTTTTAGTGGCTCTGTTGATACCCAATTTACTTCAAGACCAATGGCATGGATGGTATAGTTGAGTGAGTTTATTTTTATCTCTTCCTGGAGCAGTTGTTTGCTCAGATTGCCAAGCCTTGCTGCTTCCATAGTGATTAGCTAACATTTCAACCACTAACTAAAAGACATCTTCCAGAGTCACCATCTACAGACTTCAGCCATCATGGTCTTCAGTGAGTGCCAGACTTTGATAATTAGTATAACAGCTGAAACTAAGGCTCTTTCACTAAAACTGAAAGCCTTGCTTGCCAAGGTTTATGGCTTGACTACAAATACCAACAAGGCCTTTGGGGCCTCTCCAGGATCAGAGTGTGTAGATCTAGACAGCTCAGTAACAATACCTGCAAGGTTATGACCCCAGGCTTGGGTCATAAATTCTCTAAGAGACTGACTCAGAGGTTTCCTTCTGTCCTGACCCCAACCAGAGAGCTAGTCAATCCTCCTGCTGGACAGCAAGTAGTAAATATCATCTCAGGCAAATTATCCAGGCAGGTGGGGTTGTAGCATCCAAGAGACTCAGAAAAGACTGCAGCACACATAAAAGAGTTTACAGGAGTCTTTGGTTTAAACTTTTCTCTTAGCAGAGGTGTAAGCAACAGTCCATAAAATGCATATAACCAAGATATAAGTGACATACAATACACTGTGCACATTACCTTTGACAAGTGTACACACCTGTAAAACCAGCTCTAGATTATCTTTCTTTCATCTCTCCCTGCCAGTCCTATTCCCCAGGAGCCTCTGATCTACTGTGTGTGTGTGTGTGTGTGTGTGTGTGTGTGTGTGTGACAGAGATTTGGTATAGAGCCCTAGATCACCTTCCTAAGTGCTGTGATTACAAATGTACATAACTATGCCAGGCACGCTGACTTGCTTGCTTTCTGTCAGTACTAGTTGATTTGTATTTTCTAGAATTTTGTCATAGGGAGACACATATAGACAGTATGTAAAACAATGTCAGTTTGTCCTCAATGTGTAACAGTCCTCCAATTATTCAGATCATAGAAATCACCTGGGATGGATTCCTAGGCCATGGGCCAGTCCCATTACATGGTGATCCACAGAAAGAACAATGGAATCTGATGGACTCCGTGTGTTTATAAGCCCCTGGACTTAGGGAGGATTTTTAAGTATTCTGCTTTTGAATGCACTTTACAATTTCCTCTACCTTGAGGTTTAAATTATTGTGGTTTAGAATAGTACAATATGTCCTGAGTCCTCTTTCTCAATACTTTTTACTTATGTGAGGGAAAGGATCCTATATGTTCTACCTTCTAATTCTCTTCAGGTCTTCCACTTTCCTTCTGTCTTTTTTCCCCTCAAGGCTAGAACTCTACCACTTGAACCACAGCACCACTTCCAGCTTTATGAGCAGTTTATTGGAGATAAGAGTCTCATGGACGTTCCTGCCCAGGTTGGCTTTGAACTGTGATCCTCAGACATCAGCCTTCTGAGTAGCTAGGATTACAAGCATGAGCTACCAGCGCCTAGCTTCTACTGCCTGTCTATTGGCCCAGGTCTTTCTTTTATCTTGCCTCTGAAGCTAGTATCCATGTAAAATTCAAATGGAAGACCAGGGGCTGTGGATCATACGTGTAATCCTAGTTACTCAAAAGGTAAAGCTAGGAGGATTGTGATTTGAGGCCATCCCTGGCCATAAAGTAAAAAGAAAAAAGAAAAAAAATCCAAACTAGTGAGACCCTATATGAAAGCTGGGTGTGATGAAGCATGCCTGGAATACCAGCTAGGCAAGAGTAGCAGGGTCTTGGCAGAAGCCAGCCCCCAGCAAAAACAACTCCAGAAAGAGCTGGGGATGTGGCTTCACTGGTAGAGCATTTGCCTGGCAAGACTCTATGTTTAAACCTCAATCCTGCCAAATAATAATAATAATAGTAATAATAATAGGAATAAAGTACTGTTTTAACTCTTCAGGAAGCCTCTACTGTCTAGCTCCAGGGATAGATTCCAGTTCTATGCTCTTCACTCCACTCCCCATCACCACCAGCTCTCTCCTCTTTCTTATGCTTTGACCACGAAAAAGGCATTTTCCTCCCATTTTCCCAAAGCTTGTGTCTCCTTTTCTTCTATATTTACATAAGCCATCGTCTTTCCATAGTGATCAGCTCTCCAGCTTCTCAATTCCATTGCATGAATGCTTGGATCCATTCTTCTCTCAGATGGTTTCTTCACCTAGACTATATTACCTTGTTCTAGTTCAGGTGCTGGTGGCACACACCTGTAATTCTAGCAATCCAGGAGGCTGAGATCTGAGGATCGTGGTTGGAAGCCAGCCTGGGCAAGAAAGTTTATGAGAATCTTACCTAACCAGCAAAAAGCCAGAAGTGGAGCTGTGGTTCAGGTGATTGAGCACTGGCCTTGAGTGAAAAAGCTAAGGGACAGCCCCCTGACCTAAATTCAAGCCTCAGTATGGGCACAAAATAATACCTGCCACAATT